TCAAATAATCTGCAATAAATAGAATAAACTAGCATTGTTTTTAGGGGTCTTTTGTTTGTTGATTCATTCAAAATAAATTCTATTCATGTAACATCTATATGTTAGGCAATGGCCAGAATTGGAATGTTAGAATGATAAGTTGCTTCCAAAAATTAATGTGAACTAAATATTACTAACAGGGAAGAGTAATGTAATTATGCAATGCGGAACAGATGTATTAGAAAATATTTCGAAAGAATAAAAATGTTTTTTGTTTTAAATTATACGAGCTTACTTGGGCTCGCTCGTAGGTAAGCGGTTAAGAGCGACGGGACTTATTTCAGAGGTCCCGGGTTCGATACCTACTTCGAGCAGCCTGTTGTCAGGCAACATTGATAACGATTTTCACTTGGAAATATAAATAGCAATATGTTTCCAAGTGAAAATAAGCCCTCATCCGGCATTGTTGCACCAATAAAAATTTATCATACAGAGATGTGACTACTGTTTCGGTTGCCATCTGTAATAAAACAAACGTAGTTTGTAAGATATTAAGCACAACAGCTCATAAAACCCACAAGTTCTGATCGCTGTTCAAATAAAATTATAAAAAAAATTATACGATCTTACTTGAAGTAAAATAGTAACATACCATGTTCCATAAAGCAAGACGGTATAAAAATAATAATTACAATATACATCATTTTAAGTTTGTCGATGATTGTGATCTTTTTCCAGCCTACATAATACATTTTCATTACCATTTGCATCAGTATGTCAACTCGAAGACTGCATTTTTGCAATCTGCACGCGATTACGTAACGATCATTAGCTTGATTATCACATTATGCAATGTCACGGCCGAGTCGACTCGTCGTGGCTCTGACTCTGACTCTCGGCTCTTGGCTAGAGAATATCTTTCACTTGGGAAGTAGTAGACTTGAGTCTTTGTTGCACGCGAACACGATATTACATTGGTAGCAGAGAATGGCATGTTATATGTGCATGCTGCAACATTCTCGGGCAATATAAAATGACCGTGATCTTGACATTGGCAGAGCAACGAAGCTGAGACCATTTGAAATCGTCTAATGATTTGATGATAAAACACTATTAGCCAATACTAGTATTCTAAAGCATTAGTTCAGGGTCTTGGAATGTAATTCAAAATAGTAGGATATGTAACCCTTATTAATCTCAAATAATTTTTTTTTATAATTTTTTTATAATTTTATTTGAACAGCTATCAGAACCTATGGGTTCTATGAGCTGTTGTGATTAATATCTTACAAACTACGTTTGTTTTTAATATAGATGGCAACCCAAACAGTCACATCTCTGTATGATAAATTTTTTATTACAATCTCTGTAATAGGGCAAGTATGGTGCAACAATGCCGGGTGAGGGCTACTTTCTCTTGGAAACATATTGCTATTTATATTTCCAAGTGAAAATCGTTGTCACTGTTGCCTGACAACAGGCTGCTCGAAGTGGGTATCGAACCCGGGACCTCTGAAACAAGTCCCGTCGCTCTTAACCACTTACCTACGGGCGAGCCCTCAAATAAAATAACTAACAATATTGTAAAGTACAGTACAGTGAAAGATATGCCGAAGTGTAATTCATATCATTGCAGAAGCAACAACAACAACAACACAAGATAGTTTTTTTTCTAAAAAAAAATTTGAAAACTAATTGAAGTGTTCTGTATTATACTTTTAGTTTCATTGTGCAAGTTGCTTTGATTAAGTTTGACCTGTCATATATCATTTACAAATTACTTAAAAATCTTACAAAAATTTACACAAAATTATAGATAATATTGCTTCAATTTGGATCCAGTCGAGAAATAAATTGAAAATGCTAAATTTACTAGCTAAGACATTGCTCCTAGCTATAAAGGTAAACAATCCTCTTCAGCATTAGCTTATAACAAATATAAATAAACCACATTTAAATAGAAAACAGAAATAGAACGACTGGAGCTGAATTAGGAGTCCGGGGTTCTATACCGCTTCAAGGATCCTGATGTCAACCAGTAGTGATATCCGTTTTCACTTGAAAATATTGATAGCAATATGTTTCCAAGTGGAAATAACTTTCATCCGGCATTGCTTTATCAATAATATATTCACCCTATTATGGAAATTGTTATAATATAATTTATCATACAGAGAGGTAACAACTGTTTGGGTTGCCATCTGTAAAACCGACAAAATATTAACTCAAATTAGTCCAATAGCTTATAGGACTCTTAAATACTGAATGGTGTTCAAAACAATAAAAAAAATCTAATTTAAAATGACTACCACTGGGCAGCATTTTATAATATTATCTTCACACATTAGTCACTAAAATTACTGAATGACTGTTATTTCATAAGATAGATGATCGAGTAAGAATGCACAAATCTATTCCCACGAGCAGTTATCTATTTCTTCAAAAAATTTCACACCAAATCAAACGTTGCACGGTTACAATATCGGCAGTATCGCGGTATCGCAGCACGAGATTCCTCTCTAGGCCTATATATTTTTTCCCAACTGCAAACCGGTCCCGAGACTTGGCTTGGGCTGAGTTGAAGCAACCAATACACGAAGTCGCGAAGCAGCAAAAAGCAAAATCCACGTATATTTCTTTATCATCTTTTTTCTTCATTCTGCTTCACGATCGAATCTAAAACCTCTACTTGCGGTAATCGCCACGGAACAACGAGGGAACGAGAAGATCCTACATACCGATATAGCGGCGACTCTGTCTGACGGTCAAGGATTCTTTACAAGACTGTACGGCTAGCACGACCAACTGTAAAATCATCTTCTGTATGTACGTGAACACCAGGAACAATCAACCTTCTTCCATCCGGTTAAGCATAAACAGTCTATATGAAGTATTTTGCTAACTATTGCTTGCTAAGAGACTATTTTTAAAAATAAGTTTAAAAATTATTTTTTGGAAAAAATCATGGTTTTTATGTTGAAACATGACTTATACTTTGATGTTAATTGATAAAATTAACTTTTGTTAGTTTCTAGTTAACTTTTGTTATTTCCTTTAGTTTTTTCTATTTATATCTTTTATAAACTACTATCGGATTTATTTTAAATTGTTAAAATATAATATTCTTGAAATACCAAAAAAAGCATGATCTATAAATCTATTCGAGTAAATTTATAAAAAATATCGACATTGATAAGAATATAAACCAATGAAAAATATTTAGAATAGTCATTCTCGATATTTTTAACAATAGTAAAAATCGGATTTAGGGATGAATGCAGTTCAAACAAAAGAGAAGTCTATAAAGATGACACTGTAAAAATTTCAAGTAAATCGGTCTCGTAAAAGTTCAAACAGTGTTATCTCCAAAAATAACTTAAATTTTGAAAAATCCTCTTGTACACATATTCCTGAAGAGTTAGAACCTTTAAAAATGAGCGAAAACACAAAATCGATTCTGTGGGGTAAGTTATTGTAATGGGCCGAAAATCGAAATTGAAAATTTTTACATTTCTCGACGTTTTGAAGGTTTCTGAACATTTTGGCATACATCAGAAAAAATTGATGTGTGTGTGTATGTATGGATACAAATTTCCAGTCACGTTTTCGGGCGCACGGATCAACCGATTTGAATGGTTCAAAAAACATTCGATTCCTATCGATAAGGAAGAGAGCTGATTAGTTTTTGGCAAAGGCAGGTTCAGCCGTTACGGAGTTACGGAGCAAAGAATGCATAAAATAGAAATCGAGTTTTTGAGTGAACGGAGCATCCGATTTGAATGATCTAAAAAACATTCAATTAGTAATGATTGGGAGAAGTGATTATTAGTTTTTGGCAAAATCAGGTCCAGTGGTTTCGGAGATACATAGCTAAATGTGCAAAAATGGCAGGTTTTAAGAAAACTAAGCGTCCGATTTGAATGATTCAAAGAACTTTCAGCTTGTTTTAACAAAATAATTGATTTTGGAAAAAAAAGTATAATTTTTCTTTCTTTTTTTTTAGTTTTTTTTTGTATATCGAAAATAATTCAGATTTTATTTTTAATTCTAAAGTTCTAATATACTTTAAACAAATAATTTTAACTTTGCAATTCAGTTTATATAATTCTTATAAATATTAGACAATGTTACAATATTTATAATAATCTATTTGAAAACATTCTGTATTCCTCGAACATTTCGTTACGGTACGGGAAGTTCCAGCAATTTGCCTTAAGACACCATACACCCAACTAGTTTAATTCTAGCCCGGAATACCTCAATAATGTATAAAAGAAAAAAATGTGCCACAATTCTTATAAAAACACTATTTTATGTCACTGACATGACCCTATATTAAAACATTTTTTCTCTTACAAAATCGCGCATATCAGACTCATGTTAAACTCCTTATCGTCAGACCCATAAGACTGACATAGCGATCAACGTGTTAATAATAGGTTATCAAAACCTGTCGCACACCTTCCATGAACACACGTGTTCATCGATGTATTTATATATGGTATACATGTTGTTTTGAATGCATTTGTATGCAAGACGAGACTGTACTGTCGGAACGGGAACAATAGCTTTGCGAAGATCATATGTGTGTGATATAATCGTCCCCAGTCGTGGGACACTAAACAATACAAACTAAATGAGAAGGTGGTATGAAAGGATAGAATAAAGGATCGTAAAACCATTTTAGAATTCTTGAAAGACGTTTAGTTTCTTGCAGAACAATAAAATGTATTAATAAAAATAAGAAATATAGCAATTGTACAACAGATCTAATTGCAATGACGCAGCATAAAATGACCAGAATACAATGAGAAGTGATGATTTGTGATTTTATTAGAATCTATGTATTTTTATCCTTGCAAATACACGCCAAACATAAAAACATTCTTAATTTTCATTATTAACACGAAAACAAATTGAAAAATATCTTAGTTACGTACTACAATTAGCATGATAATAAAAACTTCCATAACAATTAAGAAAACATACATATTGTTATAGAAAAAAACTATGAAACTCACAGATTATATTTTTTGACTTGTCTTCGATCCATTGATTGTTCATCTTTTCACATATATAATGCTAACAACAAAACTACTTCGTAATAAATAACAAAGTATCACCAACATGCGGTTACCGATACTTGTCAATGTGCTTCCGATAGGGTACTGAATGCAGAAAATAATTTAACTTTCTTTCTTCTGCTACCTGAGCGCCACTTGCCAAAAATTATGATTTCGTGCCGACTTGTCAATTGTGGTAATACTACATGCTAAATAATAAATATATATTATTCTACAGGACAATCACGAACGTGAAGTTCATATAAGTAATACTCGATAATAAATAAAAAATATTGGTGTTTATATAGGAGTTGGTTGTTTTAGATATTTTATAATATGACGAATAACATCATTTAAATTTTATAGTATAAGGTTTATATATTTTTAGGCATTATATTTTATAATATAAAGTTTGTTTATTTAAGGTGCTTATGTATTTTTGACATGCGTTTTCATTGCAAAGTGCGAATAAGGTACAGCATACATGCACTCATGTAGAAATATAATCATATATGACTAGAATGTATAAATAGAAAATAGAACGATTTTTTGCGATGTTTCGAATATTTAGACTGTTTAATTAATTTGATCAATAGAAATGCATTAGAATAATAATAGTTGTTTTTCTTCACCTCACAGATCGCGATATATTTTCTGAAGACTCAAGTTCAGAACAACAAAGGCCTCCATCACGACATACTCCATCGCCTAGTTCCTCTTCACCTGGTCCAGATCGCAGCATCCCTCCAGCCCGCAGATTTATTTCGTCGATCTTGGGAGGTGATATACCTTATGGATCGCGTGGACATGTCTTGACGCGTGCAGAGCGCAAAGAGTATTTACCAATTGGAAGACCACTGACGACAAGCGAAAGTAGCAATAAAGATAGTGCTGCAAAATCAGAGAAATCGGATGAAGAGCGCGGGAGCCCTTCTCCAGGTTAGTTTCAAAATATTTGATTTAATACGTCATACTCAATTATTTAGTTTGTTTAAATTTATAGATGATTTACCTTACCATTTTAATTATTCATTTAGGTGTAATTAGCAAAACAGTGGAAGAGCGATCATCTCCACTTCCACCTCGTTGTCATCAAGTATCAGTAATTCAGCGGACTCCAAATTTAATAAACTTGCAAGCAAGCAAGAAACAATTATCAGATAAACGAAAAGAAGATTCCGAGGTAAAATTGCCCACGTCACTCATGTTATTACAACCTGAACAAGAGCAGCCCATCGATTACCATATTCCAAAACGTCGTGGTGAAACAGAAAACGAAGAAGAAGAGAAAAAATTCAGAGACCAGCGTAGATGCTCTTCCCACAAAATTGCAAATTTGGCCCCAAGACAAGCCGTGGCACCTAGAGGTAAGATGCCAGCTATAACAAGTTGTGCAGCAGGTCATGGTAGATCAAATGGTGGTCAAAATCAAAGCTCTGGCCAAAGTAATACACAAGGTGGAGGTGGTTCGATTAATTTCTCCAGTGGGGGTGGCGCAAGTGGAGGAGGAGCTATGGGCGGAAGTGCTGGTGGATCTGGAAATGGACGAGATGGCCGGTCTAATTATGGACCTAACAGTCCACCGACTGGTAGTTTGCCGCCATTTTACGAAACATTAAAAGGTGGTAACAACGGATCAATGAATTCTTATAACGCAAATGGTTTTGCTCAAAATGGTTATGGCCTGATGGGATCCATGGATTGTGATGGACACCCCGATTCCTCCGGAAGTGCAAACTCGAATAATTATGGAAACGATGGACAAAAGCAATACTCAATGCTTCAAAACGCTGCCTATGGAATAGCGTTGAAAGATGAGGTAGATTTAGACTATGAAAGTAAGCTTGATGCATTAAGCCTCAATTCTAATTTGATGCAAGGGTCTTATAATGGGTATGACGTAAACGATGCAATGATGGTGGATATGGCCACAGGAACCGTAGTGGATCCATTACAATTCACCGCAACCTTAACTTTCTCCAGTCCTGCTGAACATGCTTTATTAGATAGTCTGTCAGACGCCACGGACTTGAGCACATATTTGCAGCGTTTACCTAATGGAGATTCTTCTAACAATGACAATGATGATTTAATCACAGACGAACTAGTTTCGACACCTTCCATAACGCCTGATTCTGTTAGCATAACACCTGTTGAGTCTTCATTAGAACCTTATCCAGAACATTTACTATTAAATCGTAATTATGACCGAAACTTTTTGCATCAGCAATATCATAGTAAATTATATCATCATCAAGATAACCACAATAGTCCACCTCCACCTCCAAGCTACCATATGACAAGGGAACGTCAAGAGCTAGTTCTTCAACAGCAACTTATGCAACAACACGCTGCTGATACACAACAGCTACAGATACAGGTTCAGCTACAACAACAACAACAAAATAATAATGGTCATCATCATCAAGGACAAGTACTGTCACCTGGTCTATCATTTTCTGGAAGTGGTCTGGATCTGGACTCGCCTACTACGATGTCCCTACCTTCACCTGGCGGCAATAGCTCACTGGGAGATAACTGTTCACATCAGGAAACCAGCCTCAGCCCGGCCAGCGTGAGTACAACAACGTCCAGAAGAAATTCGGCGACAAGTGCACCGGCCGATAGCAAGCTGCACGTTTTGTCGCACCGGGTGAGATTCAAATTGATTTGTAAAACGGCTGAGTTCATTCGATAGCATTCGCGTTATTTGCTATTTCAACAAATTTAAAGATTTGAAATAAATATAGAAAAATTTCATATCAATTACATAAATAATTAAAATAAATTAATTACAGCCAAAATCAAATTGAACTTTACTATACGGTTTAGAATAATAATTAGAATATTTTTTTTTAAAATATTATTTTTGCAAATATAATTAAAAAAATTCAAACAAATCTGCATCAGTGCCTTGAGATTTTTTGTAAAATTGATTAAAATTTAAACAAATCGGTAATTAGTATTACTACAAAATAAATAAAACAAATTCTTATATAATTTCTTATAATTATAGCTGGGATTACCTGCTGAAGTGCAGTTAGAATTCGTAAACGGCGGTCATGGTATCAAGAACCCACTCGCCACAGAACAAGGTCCTGGTGGATCCAGGCACCATAGTCATCATGGACATGGGCACCGAGATGAAGATAAGAAGCCACAAGCAATACTCTCTGATGACGATCCAACTAAATTTGTATGCAGAGTCTGTGCAAAGACCTTCACTCTGCAAAGATTGCTAAATAGGCACATGAAGTGCCATTCTGATGTAAAAAGGTACTTGTGCACATTCTGCGGAAAAGGATTCAATGATACGTTCGATTTGAAAAGACACACAAGGACGCATACTGGTGTGAGACCTTACAAATGTAATCTATGTGAGAAATCCTTCACGCAGAGGTGTTCCTTGGAATCCCATTGCCTAAAAGTCCATGGAGTACAGCATCAATACGCATACAAGGAGAGGCGCACAAAGGTAAATAATAAATGCCCTAAACTTTCATTATATTAATTGGAATTGAATATAATTGAATATATATTGATAGTATTTGATACTTAGAAAACCCTTTCGCTGGGTTGCTTATCAATTTTATACTAATTTTGAAAGATTGGTGAAACAGACGAACAGTACAGATGAGATGAGATGAGAAGTACAGGCGATAAAATTTGTTCAGATCTTTGGCATAAAACGATAAATTGTTCAGCTAAAACAAACTTGCATAAAACTATAGTTCAATTACAAAATATGATAAGTATTCTGTATATATTATATTTAATGACCTCTCCCTATTTCAGATGTACGTCTGTGAAGAATGTGGTCACACGACGAGTGAGCCCGAAGTGCACTATTTACATTTAAAAGACAAACACCCATATTCACCTGCGCTACTTAAATTCTACGATAAACGTCATTTCAAATTCACAAATTCACAATTTGCAAACAATCTACTAGGTCAGTTTCCTATGCCAGTTCATAATTAAACTGAGTTATTGGACATTTATGAGCTATATACATACATATTTATATTTTGTTATATGAAAAATTATGTAGAAAATTAATTGCATGTGTAATAGAAACATTGTAAATTTAAATGTTACTATCTTGGATAAATTCTTTGGATAGATATCAAAAATATGTATATATGAAAATATTTAAAGAAAAAATGACACAAATCTATTGTGATATATAGAAACTGAATAAATAATTGACTATAGATTTTTTATTCTAGAATAGGGAACTAAGACTCTACTATGATGTCATCTTTAATTGTTTTGCCGCAAAGCTGAGCATCTTTAAGAGATGATTTCTGGATTATTATAAGATATATTAAAGTATTTATAGATAAACATAAACATTTGAGAAAGAGAACTTAGTTCCCTAAATTAGAATCATAGTGAAAAAAAATCTATAAACTGTTTCTAAAAAGTTGTCAGTTAAATGTTTGATAGTTTGATGATAATGCTCAAATTTTAGTTTAAAAATTTTAAGAAAATTATATAAGAACACATCTGACAAAACACATCTGAACTAGCCGCAATATAATATTAATTCTAAAAGATGTAAGGAAACTAACATCTAATGGCTTATTTTTAGAAAAAGCCAAGACTAAGTTTCATAAATGACGTTTATACAAATAAGACTGGATAATATACAAAGCATAGGGGGTTTTGTGCAATCTAGGTGTGTGGGTAGCAGTAATTTTGGGATATTATCACTATCGATTAATAATATAATTAGAAAAATTCGCTAAAATTATTACCTTGCTAAATTTTATTAAAGAATATACAATCAAAAGTTCAGATTGCTTATGAGTGTATTAGTATAAAAGGTAGTTAGAAAGATTTGTATGAATGAAAGCCTAATTGGAATGTAGTAATAAAGATTGAATGTTTGTCCAAAAACAGTATAGACTATTATTTAAATATAATTTAAACTGATTGGTTCGCCCAATTCTAAGAATAAAAAATTAAATATTTATGATTTTTGATATTTTATATAGTATTGTACGTTTTGTTTATGTATATAAGTAATAAATATTTAGTTTTACGTATTATAATAATGCTTGAATGTACCTTTCTATAGATTTATAGATCCTTAGTTTATAAGAAGAATATCATATATTGAATTAATAATTCTGTTTATGTTTTGTAACCTTTTTATAATGGGCAGAATATAATTAACTACAAGATGTACTTAAAAATACTAAATATCTTCCAATGTTTGACGATATATCGTAACTTTACATTTTCTATTTTGCAATTTCGATAAGGTATAATTTGAAACTGGACTCTTGAAATTGCTGAAAGCATCGACAGTATTCATATGAGCTAATTCATTAATTAAATTTATATCATATTAACTAGATTAAGGACTTATTTATTAATATCAATTAATCAATTATAATTTTTTATATATATAACCAAAAAATGATAAAAACTCGTTATTTTTAATAGAGAGAGCAAGAAAATTCTGCCCATTCTATTTATTATTTTTTGGATTGAAACTTCTCATTCCTGTGATTGTTAAAATATTTTTTAGCCAGTATCATATTTATATTTACTATGTTCAATGAAATATGAGCATGTTAATAAAAGAGGAAAAAATTTGAAAAGAGAAAGATTAATGAATTGTACTTCATTTTATATGTTTATTAAAATAAATTGATATTAAAAACTATTTAATATAATTAAGATGGTTTTATTTAGTAAGTAGTTATAATTCATTCATAGCAAAAAATTCTATTATTCTTATTTATTAACTTATATACTAGCGGCCATATATTTTTCTATCAGAGATCTAGCATTTTTGGTCTATAATTTGAAAAATTATTATCTTAAAAATCCTACAACTAGTTGATTAAAAATCGTTTGGAGAATTTAGGAACTTTGAATAATGACAGGATCTAATAAATTCAAATTTAGAATTTTTATAATATTAATTTCCTATTATATATAGTATTAGTGACTTTATTGTAGATTGGACTTATAAAAATTTTAATTGCATAAAAATTCTGGAATTGTGATATGTGTTCTAAAGACCGACAACTTTGTTGTCATTTTGAATGACATTAAACTTGAAATGCTTTCATTAAATCACGCTATAGAAACAAATTTAATTGATTAAAGAAACATGAACTATTAACTATTTGTAAAGTTTTTGACAATACATTGTACTATCACAACCTAAAATCTAAAAACGAATAATTTCTGGTATTCACTAACAAAGAGCATTGTCAATATTTTAAAACTATTCCCTATTACTTCTATTCTCTAATATCAAGGCAATGATTTTTTTTAAAAGTGTAACAAGTGTAAAATTGGAAATTGTTTAGACTGGAACAGCTGCTCTTACACGTCTAACAGAAGTATTTTCAACTTTGTTAAGTATTGAATTTTTACCTGACAATTGTCGATCATAGTTGTAAGTATTCAAAGAACTTCCAGATGTAATGAGTTTATAACTATCGCCTATTTTTTCACTTTCATAATTTTTGGATGTCATTTTCGTTATTTCATCTAACTGAAAATAAGACATATTATTTATGAATACAGTATTTATAGAAAAATAATAATAGTAGAGCACCACAATATTTTAATTAAAAATGAGATATAATTTTCAATTTACCTCATTATCAATTGCCTTGAATTGCCAGCACCAATTTGCACGGTATAAGAATGGTCTATGATCAAATCTATTATCATCAGGACTATAGCTTTCTGCATGATATGAAGGTGTCAAAACTGTCATCTTGTGCCTATTTATAGCATAACAACGAAAGAAATGTTTGACTTTCTCAGCAACCTGTTAATTCAATCAAAATCATTATTTCTGATAAAATTTGCTTCTTGATTTTAAATCAAATATATTGAATCATATCAAATAAGTTATTTTTCAATTAGATTATTTACTTCCGCAGGAGTATAATCTTTCTTCCAAGTTGACACTAGTTTGCAAAACATGCTATAAGGACCACATTGGGACTGCTTCCTAAGTTTTCCAAAAACACTAATTTCTGCATATGTCATTCCCATATCTTGCTCATCAGTTTGTGCTAATCGACCAGATTCATCCAATGGTTCCAACTCCGCAGTTGGAGGAGCGCTCAATATTTCACCAAGAATTGGCAATGTGAACCTAAATATTAAAAAAAATAAACAATTTAAACTAAAAAAAGCTAAAAAATAGAATTAAAAATTTTGCTAACTTGTCTTTAGCATAGATCAGGAACGATTTGAGATCAGTCTTTGAAATTCCACCAATTGGATTAACATCAGCACTAGAGCAATCATATTTAGTCATATATCCTCTGAGTGCTTCATCTACATTTGCAGAACCCAAAACTAATAAACCACCAGGCCTATTTCGCACCCATAACATCAGTTGTGCAAAGAGATAAGCTAAAACCATTCGCAACCTAGCCTACATAAAAGAAAAGATAGGATAAACTTATATATCAATCATAACTTTACTCTGAAATCGTATCATCACTTGAATATTCTGTAGAGCTAAATTTTGCCTCGGGCAACCACCTTTGGTCTTAAACTTAGGTACAAGACCAGTAACAGATGTAAAAATTCCTAATACCGCACTGACTGCAACATCGATCGAGATAGCAAAATGATAACTAAAAAAAAATCAAACAATATGTTATAAATTCTCTTGTAATATATATATATATAACATATATATATATATATATATATATATATATATATATATATATATGAGTAAGTTCTTGTGGGCCAATACATCAAAGAATAAAAAGCAAAGATTTATAAATTAATCTTTAATTCCAAACGTTTCGACATTCAATTTAATGTCATTATCAGTGGATCTAAAAACAGTATAAAAATTAGTATAACTAGGTAATTATAATATATGTGGATTGGTACAGAAACTATAAATATAAAAGAAAAATTAACAGAACAGCAACACTTAACAACAAACAAAATATAAAAGATAGAAAAAGTAATAGAAACTAGATATTAAATAGATAAAAAAGAAACAAGAAATATATATATATATATATATATATATATATATACATATATATATACACATATGCATACATACATATTTAATATATACATACACATATACACAAATATATATATATATATATATATATATATATATATATATTTCTTGTTTCTTTTTTATCTATTTAATATCTAGTTTCTATTACTTCTATTACTTCTATTACTATATATATATATATATATATATATATATATATATATATATATATAAACAAAACAAAATATAAAAACATAAACAAAATATTTATGAAAATGGAGAATACATACAAAATAAAAGTAGACTTACATTAACGTTGGTAGGTTGCATCTAAAGATGTGTACACAACACTAGAAATTAGCAATAACATTTATACATCTAACTTGTCAACACCATGAATTTTTTATCATTTTTTGTATGAAGTAAAAAGAAAAATGATAGTTTTATTTGACAAAAATGTGAGTAAAGTTAAATAATTCCTGCCACGACTTGTGTACTTTGCACTATCCGAGGCATATCTGTTGCGCACATGTTAGAAAAGATTTTGAAGGGTCATTCAAAATTTGCTGTGCGTGGGTAGGTAAAGCTCGGGTTTCATGGTCGAAGTTCGAGTTGAACTGGTAATGTTAGACAAGGTTTGTATGGTCAGAATTAGTTTTGTTCAGAGGAGATAAATTTGGAAACATTATTTAGTATTACTTGGTAGTTATACTAATACCTCAAATACCTAAAATAAAGATTTTTAAGGGTCATTCAAAATTTGCTATGGGTGGGTAGGTAAAGATCGGGTTTCATGGCCGAAGTTGAACTGGTAATGTTAGGCAAGGTTTGTATGGTCAGAATTAGTTTTGTTCAGAGGAGATTACTTGGTAGTTATCGCAGAGTAAGGAGGTATCACATCTTTTGTTTATAGCGTGTTTACTTAATGCTATGAAATAAGATTCTGCAAAACGTCTTTGAATGGTATTGCCATAATTTTTTAACCATAAAGAAAATACTGCCGGTAGAGAATATGGGCATCATAAAAATTGAAGGAGTGTTTGAAATTTTTGATGTGGTCTGTTATCATAGTTTGGTTTAGGTTGGGGTTTTTCGAATGATTGTCGTGTTGTTTGAATCTATTTATCAAATTTTGTCCGGTTTCACATATGTACATAGAGGGGCAATCATTGCAATTTATTTGGTAGACAATATTGGACGTTCTATACTAGTGGGTGATTTTAGGTTTGTGTAGAGGGAATTAGGAGATAGATCTATGTTGCAAGTTAATCTGATGTCTACCTTATGAAAAAGTTTTTTCCACACTGGGAAGAGTTCTTTTATATATGGTAGACAAATGTTGCCGATATAATTATTGTCTTTGGAACTTTTAATAGAAGTGGAAGAACTGTTTTTATTGTTGAGAATTTCAAGTCTGTTGGTAGTTACGGAGTTGTCTTGTTTCTTTTTTTATCTATTTTTTAATATCTAGTTTCTATTACCTTTATCTTTTATATTTTGTTTTTTATACTGTTTTTAGACCCACTGATGATGACATTAAATTGAATGTCTAAACGTTTGGAATTAAAGATTAATTTATAAATCTTTGCTTTTTATTCTTTGATGTATCGCCCCACAAGAAGTTACTCATATTACAACATCAAAAATAACAACTAAATCACACACATATATATATATATATATATATATATATATATATATATGTGTGTGTGTGTGTGTAATTTCACCAACCTTCCTATTTGTGATGACAATACTGTTGCTCTATATTTAGTCTCATGACTAGAATTCTCACTGCCCATGTAACAGGTGACTAATATCCTATTGCACATCTCTTGTGGCGTTTTTGGTACATAATCAGACTCACCTAAAATTTTTCTCACATCTTGTAAGACTTTTGAATCTATCAAAAATTTAGAAAACAAAATCACAGTAATTAGTTATTAGTTCAACTTTTGAGTAAAAATGTAATGTCGTTGTATTTTATTACCTCCTTTACTGATTGAATCAACAACTAATCTGCACATAGAATAAACTATTATAGCAGAGCTGCTTGAGTCAACTCCGCCACTTAGAGGTAGAAAAAAGCCACCCTGACCTGATCTTCTTAAATAATCCCACAGCCAACAAGCAGGACCTAATTATATAATTAGGTAAGTTTAAGTAAATTTATGTTATTTCAGCATAAAGTTGATACTACACATTAATTTTTATTAATTTACCTAATGCAATTTCTTCTTCTGGACTGTGATACTGCCATTGAATGGGTTTATGGTTGTCAATTAGCACATCACGTTTAGAAGTTAAAGAAATATCAACTTTAATTCTAGGATATGCAGGAGCACTAGCTGCTCTATGAGAGCGAGATCTAAATGCATTTCGATATGACCTAATATCTTCTAAATCTATTGTCGCAGTTGTGACCTCCTGCAAAGTGTTTTAGTTAACATTATTAAATAACAACTAAATAAGTGAAATATTTAACTTACTACTTCTTGCAGAGCATATTGTTGACCACGATTTACAATTGCACCATTCACGGCAATATTTGAACAACCACTAAAATAAACTCTTTGCCCATCACAGCCCCTAAGATTACTAAATAAATATGCTCCTCCAGCTTTTAATGTGGCACTTTTGATAAGATCAACAATCGTATAAGCCTTTCTTAGAGACATGTAACTGCCTGAGCCATTAGAAAATATTTCAACCCCATCCAAAGACATAGGAATGTGATTACTGTAAATAATAAATATAATACAACTTTACAAATAGATACAATTTTCATCATAACATAAATTCAATATTACTAAACTTAATGTGTTGAAAACAGAAAAGAAGTTAAAGAAGTGTTCATAATACTTGAATAAAAGAAAACCACTTTTGGTTTATACCTTTCAGGATTCCAAAGTTCTTCACATATTTCAAAGCCAATACAAGTATCCTTAGTTGAAATAACACCATCTCCAAAAGGTACAACACTACTTTTAGTCCGTTCTGATATCATTCTTGGTAAAAAATATTCTTCTGTTTCACGTTTCTAAATATTTAGTAACATATAAATATGTAAATGAATATATAAGTGATAATAATAAGGAAATTTATAAAAATATACTTTTGTCCATGGTGAAAACCACCTTGATTCTCTGTAATTTCCATCTTCACATAAAGTCATCTTAGGTCGAATTAAAAGAATTTCTTTGTTGTAAAAAACTACCCGACAATTGTATGTGACATTTTTATGTTGTACTGGCATACCTAGAAGATATAATCTTTATAAATATATAAATGTAAGTAAATAAGTATCTGCATTGCTTATATCCATATCGTTTGCGTATAAAAAAAAATAATGATATATTATCAATAAAGATATATTCAGGTCATATTTGTTTAAATCGTCTAAATAGAATTAACACAAGACTATTGAAAAATATATGTAATGTATGTATGTTTTATATAATGTTACAACCATTACAACCATTTTCCTTATCTATGGTTACAACATAACTGAATCAATATAATCATTCATTTTCCTGTTTAAATGATACAAACCTAAGTCGATTAACATATCCTGAGCAAATGGTGAAAGCATGACTTCCAATAAAACTTCCCAGCTATGAAGCATTGTATCGCTTTCATGGAAATGGTCTTCACAACTGTAACCACTATAATTTTGCAAAATAAATAATCGTCAAACTCATAATTAGACTTTCCTTACAAGCAGGATCAGTTATACGCACCATACTTCTAATTCTGGTCCCGTTCTATATGTAGCACCCAATTCCCTAGCTTCTTGAATAGACTGCAGAATCCTTTCAAGGTTTCCTTGGAAATCCAAAGCCCATTGATTTAAAGTGCACACAGCGACTGTTATTTTGTGACCCATGATAGTAATTTAATTATTCTCTAAGAAAATATAAAACTTATTTTTATCTAGTTTGGCATAATTGTGTCTTAATTTGTGAAGAGGGTATTTTATCATTTAAAAGAAAATAACGATGTAATTAATTGAATGTTTATTATACACGTGAGTCCAAACGTCAGACTCGTCATTGTTTTGACATTTGACATAACCGAATGAACCTTACTTCAAAGTATAGAAGATAACAATAATGGCGGGTTATTCAAAACTTGATATATTGATTTAAGCAATCTGAGTTACAAGAATATATACTATGCTATAGTGTACTATAGTACTATACTATAAGTATGATAAATAATATATATTATATATATATATATATATATATATATATATTTAAATATTTTTGCAGCCTACTAGATGTTAATTATTTAGCAGTTGTAACAAATATAGTAATTAAATATATATATATATATATATATATATATATATATACATACACACACACACACATATATATATATATATACATACACACACATATATATATATATGTATATATATATATATATATATATATATGTATATATATATAAATATAAAAATATATATATGTATATATATATATATATATATATATATATATATATATATATTTATATTTATGTATATATATGTGTGCGTGTATATATATATATTTTTTTTAATTACTATATATGTTACAACTGCTGAAATAATTAACATCTAGTAACAGTAATGAACAATTATATAAATTTATTAAAAATGCACAAAATAAAGGATAGAATTTTCAATCAAATGATATTCGTAGTATGTTGATTTAATATAAAATAAAAGCAAATAATAATAATAATAATAAAATTAATAGGCAAAATAAATAAAATTTCTGAATAATGTATATTATTTATTTGTATATTTCCAATGTAAAAAACTTGTGCTGCAAACCATATGAAGTTCATTCAAATTACTAATAGTTTGAATGAATACTTATTGTTAGTATAGCTATTTTTTATATTTTTTTTAATAATTTTTTTTTATAATTATGATGCGATTTAATTGTATGTAATAAATTCTTCTATCTTCTATCTATATAAATATATCTAATAAACATAAAAGTTTTTTCATAGTACATTCAATATTTCCATACGTTTCAACATATCATCTTATATGTTATTTTGTTTTGTAAGTTATAAAAATAGTAAACTAATTAATTGCAATAGCAAATTTTTTAAGCATTCATAAAATTCTTTAAATATTCAATCAATAATTAATGACGTTCATTCAGTTGTGCTATTGTGAATGATACAAATAAGTGAGTTAAGATTACTCCAGTTTAAATTGCCACTAAAGATGAAATAAGATCATATGTGGAAACATATTAAAATGATAATACTAAAAAATATCTTCCAATTTGATGTACTTCCTTGCAGAATTTGTTTGTTATATACTTTAAATAAAATTTACTAAATTCGACACAATTAAGCTATAAGTTATTCAAGTGCATTTAATAATTAACTTTTCATAAATATACAATAATATCATTCAAGTATTTTTAGTTTTCGTGAACAATTTTGAACATAAATTTTAGATATATATATAACAAATGTTCACACTTAAAACACATGATAAATATATATTCTAACCATATTTTTATTCTTGTACCGATTGTAGCGATGATGACCGTTATGTTAGTTAAAAATTACGATGTTCTATTTATAACTTTGAAGAAAAGCTTTTTGCGCAAATTTATTTATATAATTATCATATTACATTGAAAAAACAAATAATTTTTTCCGAATTGATGAATAAATTGAATAATGTATATTAAAAACTCTTAAATCTCATATACAATAAATGAATATTAATATTAAAGTAAATTTAATATTAGATTTCCAATGCAGATGTATATTTAAAAATAATTTGTAACTTATAAAATAATTTACCAAGAGTGATTTTCCATGAAACACTACAAGGATGAGTACACTACAGGAATAATCGGTTTGTGTACTCCCAAACAATATCAGCCTACAATCTCCAAGGTATCATCATCTATTCTGTTGATTCTTGTGTATTTGTAAATCAATAAATATACTATGTACAACCCATAAATCTCAATTTCTGAGCTTCTTATTATTATAGTCAATGGTATGGTCGGCAATATTACTTCAGAAAAATAATGCAAAGATTATTATTGATATTGCACTTATAATTTCAATATTTGATACCTTGAGGTCAGGTTGACTGGTGCAAGGCGTCTTGGTCAAGTTCTCAATTGGGAAAGTGGTTTGAAACAAGAACCTAGCAACTGACAAAGTTCAAACGTATTTTTTTTTCTAAATATCATTGCCAATTAAAAGTTTGATATTATGTTTAACTACCAAAATCAGAATAATAGTGAGTAATGAAATTTTTAATTTGTTAACTTTCCGAAGGAGAAGTATATGTTTCCTCGAAAAATCCCATTTGCTAAACTTATGTTACCTCGACGTTTCAAGTCATTCAGAAGCGTTAATAATTTCTCTAAGCTAGCTCTTCGCTCTCCTACTACTATCTCTTGCAATTTTGTTCGTACCATCCATTTCTAAAAATGTTTTTGATGTATGAAATCAATATAAAAGAAGTAAAGATAATGGTTTTTATACATAAAAGGAAGCCCATTTTCATGAATATTTAAATAACTATTATTACCCTGGTAATAAATGGTATAAGAGTACAATGTTCGCTTATATTGCCAAGTATAGATTCCTATGTATACTTGCAAATAAATCATCGAACCAAAAACTTTGAGTTATAAATATAATGTAGAAAAATACTCATACAATTAAGATGTAATAAAACTAATATTATATTTTGAGTTTTCTAATTTAAACTATGTGCTTATTTAAATTATTATAATATTCATGTTTTTGTTGGTCTCTATAATTATAAAATTCAGACAAATCTGTTGTGCGGGAGGCTTTAATAAAGCTGCTATTAGGTTCAAAATGCACTTTCCGGCAATATATCGATGACATAGTATATTAAATTTATTTTATTTATTTATCAAAAAGTAGCTTCATTCTTAAAGCTCAAAATAGTCACACAAGAAATCCGTAATTGAAATAGTCCCACGAATAATTCATTGCAGGAAAAGGGTATTTCAATGGAAAAACGATATTACTGGAATTAATGTAGACAAAAAACCTAATACTAGGAAAAGTTAGTTAAATTAAAAATTATTTGAATATTTTTCGTATCTATTGGAATGACAAAATAAAGTAAATAAACTAGCTGTAAGTGGAATTCTGTCTTGAGGCAATTATGGCATCGTGCCTTAAGGCAAATTGCTGAAACTTCCCGCACCGTAACGAAATGTTCGAGGAATACTGAATGTTTTCAAATAGATTATTATAAATATTGTAACATTGTCTAATATTTATAAGAATTATATAAACCGAATTGCAGAGTTGAAATTATTTGTGAAGTATATTAGAACTATAGTCAGAATTAAAAATAAAATCTGAAATATTTTCGATATACAAAATACTAAAAAAAAAAAAAAAAAAAAAAAAAAAAATTGGAACAATTTTTTTTTCCAAAATCAATTATTTTGTTAAGACAAGCAGAAAGTTTTTTGAATCATTTAAATCGGACGCTTAGTTCTCTCAAAAACTGCCATTTTTTACATATTTAGCTCCGTATCTTCGAAATGGCTGGGCCTGCCTTTGCCAAAAACTAATAAACTCTTCTCCCAATCATTACTAATTGAATGTTTTTTAGATCATTCAAATCGGATACTCCGTTCGCTCAAAAATTCGATTTCTATTTTCTGCACTCTTTGCTCCGTATCTCCGAAACGGCTGGACCTACCTTTGCCAAAAACTAATCAGCTCTTTTCCCTATCAATAGGAATCGAATGTTTTTTGAACCATTCAAATCGGTTGATCCGTGCGCCCTAAAACGTGACTGGAAATTTGTATCCACACATACATACACACACACACACACACACATACACACACACACACACACACATCCATTTTTTCTGAGGTATGCCAAAACGTTCAGAAACCTTCAAAACGTCGAGAAATGTAAAAATTTTCAATTCCGATTTTCGGCCCATTACAATAACTTACCCTACGGGAAGTTAATAAATTAAAAGACTTTATAAAGCTTATAAGAAGAATTTGGTAAATTCTATCTTATAATATATTACTTATAATATATTTTCTCACCAAATATTTATCTAAAAATTTATGCTTGGTGAGATTGATCAGACTTTATCATGAAATATTGTATGACGATTGTCTATTTAATTTTTATTTGTTTTTTCAACTTTCAATTTTTTTTAATAGAAGCGAATGCTGTGCCAGATATTAAACATTCTTTAAAATAATTTTACTTTAGTCACTTATCATAAGAAAGCTTGATTAGAGCCTGAAATAATATATGTAATTTATTACTGCTTGCTTATTAAAAATAATTAAAATTAGGTAAGAGTTAAAAAATAAGTTTTGTTAACTTCCCGTAGGGTAAGTTATAGTAATCGCAAAAAAATCGAAAATAAAAATTTTTATATATCTTTACGTTTCAAAGGTTTCTGAATATTTTGGCATACTTTAAAAAAAATGGATGTATGTGTGTGCGTGTGTGTGTGCGGTTACAAATTTTTGTCGACGATTTCGGGAACACGGTTGAAGCGATTTGCATAATTCAAAAAACAATCGATTTGTTTTGATAAGGAGACGTGCTGATTAGTTTTTGGCGAAGGCCAAAAAATGCCAAAAACGGTAACTCAGTTTTTAAGAGAACGGAGCGTCCGATTTTAATAATTCAAAAAACATTTTATTTGTATTGACAAGGTGAGCAACTGATTAAATTTTTGAGAAGATAGGTCCAGCAGTTTCGGAGATCTAGTAAAAAAAGTAAAAAATTAATGTCATTTGGCGGTCAAAAATGATCATTAGACATATGCACATCAAATTATCAGATATTTTATGGAGATTTTAATCATGTGCATCAATTTTGTTTGCATTTCTATGGGTTCCGTAACGTCGTTTGTCCGGTAGACGGCGATGCGGCGCTTACGCGCTTCGATATTTCGTCTTTGTGCGATTGCTTTGAAAAATAGTTCAAAGTTTCCAAAATATTTCAAAATAAAAAAAACATTTTTTTGCCAAAAGTTTTTTTTCCAAAAATTCAATTTTTTTCAAAATTTAAAATTTCTCAAAAATTTAATTTTTTCAAAGTTTAAAGAAAAAATTTAATATTTTGTAAAAAAATTAATTTTTGGTACGGGAAGTTCCAGCAATTTGCCTTAAGGCCCGATGCCATGCGCCCCACTAGTTTTGACTAAAATAAGCTAAATAATGCTTGATTTCTTAGGCTGCTTTGTTCGATATATTTAGTACATATCACACATAAGTTTTCTAGAATTTATTTCGATTCATCAGTTGCATGTCGATTAATCGACAATAAGTCTTAGAGAGTTATGATAGGTTCAGCCGTAGCACATGCCAGCGCGAGAGAAAACTATGGTAAACCGCGGAAAAAGTTTTTACGATATTCCAGTTTAGTTCACGCTCATCGAGCGCGTGATAGCTAACGTAGAACTGTTAGATTTTTTTAAAATAGTAACCAAAATCAAAATGAACATATCGAGTTTTGCAATTAAAATAACTAAAAGTAATTTTTAAAATAACAATAGTTAAATATGTTTGCGAAAAATTGTGATCATCAGCGGTTTATACAGTTTTTCATATGGAAATTCATCAATAATCTTCAAAATCCAAGTTACCGAAAACTTTGTAGTATTGACATGGGCAGTTAAAAAAGTAGTAAATAATGATTTTCATTTTATCTAAACAATATTATTTATCAAAAAATTCGATAACTATCGTCAAGTTTTTAATTTAAAAATAAACGTAACATTTTTCATTATTTTTAACATTTTCCATTACTGACTATTTATGACAATTATTTATTATAATTTATTGAACTAGTGATTACAAAATATGATTCAACTAAGTCTAAATAACAGAATTACTTTATGCATAAAGCTTTAATTCATGAATCACCTTTCTAAATAATAAACATGTATAACAATTACCTATTGTAATATTTGAAACAATAAATATAGAAAAAGCTTTTATAATCATTTCATTCTTCACTTCGACGCGTTTCAAAACTAGCAATTCGATACAAGTAATTAATATCAAACTATCGGAATTTATGAATCAATTATTGTTTAAAATTAATTGTTTTGAAAATGGCGAACAAGTTTCAAATTCCTTAATAGAAATAGGTATATGTGATTAATTCATTCGTGTGCTGATGAACGTTGCATTTCAGTTTGAGTTTGCGGGACGCACTGTTAAAATCCGCAAGTAGTTGAGAACGAAGTAAATCATATTAATTAATAAAATGGTTTTGATGATATTATAATATTGATTGAGAAGAAAATATTCTTCAAGATCTACAGAGATGGCAGGCGGAGTGGATGTGGTCAAAAATAATGAAAATTCGACAACAGGTAAGATTTTTCGCTAGTACCGAAATAAGCAGCATATTTAAACTCATATATTGTAAGTGATTTATATTATAATTGTAGAAACAATAATCTAAAATTCAATATTTATATGATACTAAAATAAATATAATTAAAAGTTTCTCACATTCACGTGCATTCAATTCAAGCATTCATTGAGAAATTCTCTATTATTTAATGTAATGATTTATATAGATAAGCCTAAGGAAAATTTCTTCCAGAGTGTTAAATGACAAAAATGCCCATTTTTGGTAAAAAAATAAAAATATGATTCCAATTCCAATTAATTTTTATAAAGTGTGATGAGTATGGTATAATAGGTTAGGGGATATTTTGGTCTAAAATTTTTTAAAATTGATATAATTTTTTGTTATGTTTTTAGCGTATAATTATTCAAGAATATGTCTACAAGACAATTTTTCAACATTTGAATTATTTTCGGACATCAGAATTTCGGACAATCCTTCTCTATTTCCATCCTCGGCAAAACTTTAAACGCATTTTTCTCGAAACTATCTTTTACGATACAATACCAAGGTTCTCTTCTACTAAGACGATTTACTTGAAATTTTACAAGATCTTATTCATAGACATTTTTGCGAAGAAATATTTATTTAACTTGTCCGTAGTTCATACGACTGCGACATTATTCTAGATTGATGCAGGTATGAACATATTTTCTTTGGATTATTTGGAGGGTTAAAATTCTGAGTATGACAGGTGAAATTTTTTTGAGACTCTTCAATTCATCACCTTCTAGTATTAAAACTCTATGATTATTTAATTTTTATGTTCTCAAAACACTAACTATTAACTTGTAAAAAACTTATTGTTAAAATGTTATTTGCATTTTTTTAAAAAATCATCTTTTAAAAATCGCTAGAAGTCTCTGAACCAAAAACCTCATTAGAGTTTCACTAGACATTATATTGTTGATACAATTCATATAGTATTATTATTAGACAAATAACATATAGCATAATAATAATTCAATATAATAATAGTATAGCAAATAACATTATAACTTAGGTAATTAACACTCTAATATGAATAAAACTGTACTTACAAATTTATTAGATATGAATAAAATCCAGCTTTTCACATTGATGTTTCACTAATTTACATTCTCATCCAATTTCTATTAAAATATTAATTTGACAATCCAAACACTGCAAAGAGCAATATTCAACTGATGATTTGATTCATTTATGCACTCAGGAATTCCCCGATAAGCAAAACTTATAAACATATCGTAACAGTCAGCACTCCTTATCTGCAATGTGAAGAACCTATTTTAAAATATGATTGATTACGATATAGTCATAACGATTATATCAATTTTTTAACAAAAAATAAAAACTAGATAATTAATTTGTTAAAAAATTTGTTTAGAGGATAATTAATTATGTTTTAAAAATTCATTAACACAGTTTTTAAATATAAAACAAATAATTAAAATTTAAATTCATTCTATCTTAATTTGTTTTAAGAGCTAATTCTTGGCTCGTTAAAAGGCATTGGCTTTATAATTACAAGTTTTCAGGTTTTATACTCACCTCGGATAACCTGATATCAAGCAGCAATGATATCCATTTCCATTTCGAATTATAGATCAAAATATTTTTCCAATTGACATAGCCCCCTTTCTGCATAGCTGCATAAAATTATGTATCATCAGTATTATAATAGTAAATTAAAGATATATCAAATATAGATAATCAACGGTTTGGTTATAATAACCTACAGAACAGTTTAATTGTGATTGTTGTTTAAATAAGAAGAATAATTAAGATAAGTGTTCTAGAAATTTTCACTTCAGAAAATTTAATAATCAATATGCTAATTTATTTTTTTGATTTAGCTTAGTAGTCTGTATAATAGTTTTTGCAACTAATTTAAATTTAAAGTTTTTAATACTTTTTCAATAGTTTTATCCCTTCTGGACATCAATGAATATCAGAAATGACGAAATGTCTAAAAACATAAGAAACACAATATGATTAAATCACATAAGTTTCAGTAATACAATGATGTGGATTGTTAAAATTCCTTACTAGTAAAATACTGTTATTTCTATTCTTATGCAGAAAATTAATTATTAATTATCAAAAACAATCAATTATCTAACTGCAAATTCTATTCTCTTAAAATAATTATTATAATTATCATTTTCTTCATATATTTACAATTATTTACAAATTTTAAATAGCTTGCTAGCTTGAATAAAAAAAATTGATAAATGTTAAACAATTCAACATCACTTGTTTCACAAATTGAGATTATATTGATCAATATGAAGTGTTAGTGCCGTTCATTCTATTTCTCAATTTAGTTTCGCTTTCATGAAACCGATCATTAACATGCCAAAACTTCTATAACTGAAAAATTACTTTGATTGTTAGAACTATCGACTGGATTTTGATTAAATTCTCTGAAAAGCGATATTGGAAGACGGTTAATAAAAGTTTATTATATATCTAAATATATTTTCAGATAACATAGGGTTTAAAATAACTATTGCAACGCTAATTGAACGTAACTCTAAGTTGATGGGAAGATTTTTCCTTACAAATATATATATATATATATATATATATATATATATATCATATATTTGTAGAATATTGTATAACTAAATTAAGTGCAAAATTCATTATGTCTATAAGTTTTTTTTACTCATTTATCCAGAAAAACCTAAATATTTTAACATTTAATTTTATTTTCGAATAATTCATTAATTGAAACTTTTATAAAACAATTTAGATATTGTCTTTCATAGATAATACACGTACTAGATTAAACATGATTATTAAATTTATTATTTGACCGAGTTTCTACACAATAATTTTTCTTATAACTTTCCCTTTAAATCCGTCAGTAATTCTGAAAGCTCGTGCCTATAGCGATCTACTTTGATGCGCCTTCTTTTATATTATTTCGTTTTTGCTCGAAATCGATTTAATAACGTATTCTTGGTAATGTATTTTTTTACGAAGAATATTAAATTGAAAAAAACTCGCATAAGAAAGTTTCGCTATTATTGGATGTAAGGCAAGTTATATCTTAGGGAAAATATTTCTCAAAATAGAAAATACAGGTCACAATTATAGTTTGCCATAATAAGAAAAATTCTTATTTATTTATTCAATATGTAATTTTCGTAATTTATCTTCAAACTCCATTAAAGCAAAGATTTTCTAAAGCTATTTTGAATTATACAAACATTATAAAAAATAATCAATATTTAATAAAATTCCTAATAAAGTGTTTTGTTGAACATCACGTTCTAAGTTTTATTTCTACATTTAATCATGAAATTTCATTAATGTAGAGATTTTTATGACAAATTATTTTTATGATAATTCTTGAAACCATGTGTATAAAATGCATAAATAATTTTAATTCAATTTTGGAACTAATATTTTACACGAATTATCTAATATATCAATGAAACCAATCTCAAATTTATACGGTTTTGAATAAATATTAAACTAGTGGTGTGTATGAGATCGTGCATTGGAGCAAATTGCTGGAACTCCCCGTACCGTAACGAAATGTTCGAGGAATATTAAATGTTTTCAAATAGATATATGGTGCTCTACCTCTACCTATATATGGTGCTCTACCTTTACCTTTACTCTACCTCTACCTATATATGGTGCTCTACCTTTACTTTTACTCTATCTCTACCTATATATGGTGCTCTATCTTTACCTTTACTCTACCTCTACCTATATATGGTGCTCTACCTTTACCTTTACTCTATCTCTACCTATATATGGTGCTCTACCTTTACCTTTACTCTACCTCTACCTATATATGGTGCTCTACCTTTACCTTTACTCTACCTCTACCTATATATGGTGCTCTACCTTTACCTTTACTCTATCTCTACCTATATATGGTGCTCTACCTTTACCTTTACTCTATCTCTACCTATATATGGTGCTCTACCTTTACCTTTACTCTACCTCTACCTATATATGGTGCTCTACCTTTACTTTTACTCTACATCTACCTGTATATGGTGCTTTACCTTGCCGTCATTACGAATTGAATGTTTTTTGGATCATTCAAATACGATGCTCCGATCTCTCAAAAACTTGATTTGCTCCGTATCTCCAAAACGGCTGAACCTGCCTATGCCAAAAACTAATCAGCACATCTCCCTATCAATAGAAATTGAATGTTTTTTTAACCATTCAAATCGGTTGATCCGTGCGCCCGAAAGCGTGGACGAAAAATTGTGTCCATACATACACAAACACACACATCCAATTTTTCTGTGGTATGCCAAAATGTTCAGAAACCTTCAAAACGTGAAGAAATGTAAAAATTTTCAATTTCGATTTTTTGACGATTACAATAACTTACCCCACGGGCAAGGTAATTATGGCTATATTCTGGCTTCGTAATCGCGCCAAATTCCAACCCGCGAAACGGATAACCTAATTTCAAGCAGTAGAGATATTCACTTTTATTGCAAAACATAAAATGAAAATATATTTACAATGAAAAATAGCCCGGTTTTGCTGCAATGGAATAAAAATATATCATGGATGCTTAAAAAATACTAACAAATATTGTACCCAATAATATTGCCCATATTGAGTTGCTTTCTAAATAAAGCCACATAGTGAAGTGAAGCCTATAGAATTTTATGTTCTCATTTTTGCACAAGAAAGCAAAAACATATATTCAAAAGCAAAAATATATCTCTATTTATTATATCAAATCATATGTGAAATGGATTTTATTCGTGCTACAGGTGAGTCCCGATTGATTCTTGAAGGAGAGAATTTTTAACTTCATAATATCAATTATATCATGTCGTTCATGATCTCGGAATCGATCTAATTAACTTGGCGTGCTTAAATCGTTCAAAGGAAATTTATTTTTAGTGGTGCGTAGGAATATAATTCGCTATCGGATCGTTGAACCAGATTTGCCTCATGAAGCGTGCAGGCATGCATGTTGCTTCTTTCATATCAGGATGGAACAACCCCCTGTCCTGTATATATCGACTAAAAAGAAAAATAAACGCTAGATGAATAATATGTTATTTTATAAATAAATTAATGTAGTTGATTATTTTGGAAGAAGTATTTTGCGTTGGCCACACAAACTTACAGTAAACTACAGAAATAAATAAATGTGTTTTAGTTTTACATTTTGCATTTTCATTTTGTCAATTATATTTAATTCTTAATATTCAATTTTTGACTAATTCTGAAAGTATGTAATTTTGATAGTTTTTGTATACTCTACACGTTATTTAAATACATAACTAAAAATTAATTAATAAATATCAAACGACCATAATAAATATAATTCCATTCGAGTCGTAAAAAGCTTGTTATACATCATGCAATAACGTTTGGTTATTTTACTATAAAAATAAATAGCTAAAATTAAATAGTACTTAAATGTCTTTAAATTATATAAGGATTTTTTGTGCCTATTTTGTCATTTACAGCCATATCTCAAAAGCAATTACAAATTACTGTTAATTAGAAAGAAATATCTATTCTAGAGAATCATAATTACTTTTAATTATTAGAAATCATAATTACTCAGCAATGCATATAGACCGAAAATGATGCACTTAGTCTTATATAATGACTCAATTCATAAATGTCACGCCAAAACTCATTTATCGTTATATTGCTAATACAATTCTTGAAATTAGGTGTTTGTTATGCATACCTTAGAAAAAATGAATGTGTTTGTGTATGTGTGTGTGTGCGTGTGTGTATGTGTGTGCGGATACAAATTTTCGTCGACGATTTCGGGAACACCGATCAACCGATTTGAATAATTCAAAGGACATTCGATTTGTATTGATAAGGAGACGTTCTGATTAATTTTCGGCAAAGGCAGGTCTAGCCGTTCCGAAGATACGGGGCAAAACGTGCCAAAAATGGTAACTCAGTTTCTAAGAGAACGGCGCGTTCGATTACAAAGCAGTACGATTGCTTTGAAAAAAAGTTCAAAATTTCCAAAATATGTCGAAATAAAGAAAATATAGTTACTCAAAAATCAAATTTTTTCGAAGTAAATTTTTTTCAAAAATGTTAATCGTTTTTAAAAAAATAATAATTTTTGGTACGGGAAATTCCAGCAATTTGCCTTAAGGCACGATGCCATGCACCCCACTGGTTATTAGTAGTGTTATAATAGTTTAATAAAGGTTATATAGATCTGTCTTAAATTCAAACATATGTGCAAAATCTAGGTCTATAACCTATGCTGCACTCATACGTCAGAAGTAGTAGTTAATTTGCATTCTCACACACAAAGCATTAATAAATGTTATAAAATAAATTAAATAATACAATTGAAGGTTGTATACAAACTATAACTAGTGCAAAGTTGCTACAATTAACCATTTTCAATTAGAATTTCATCAAATTTTGTAGATCATCTAACTGTACTCCGTTACTTCCTAGATATAAACATAGGTAAATATTTGAAATGATTAGATTAAATAAATAAAATATTATGTGTAATATCAATAATATTTTTACTAACATTGCTTTAAGTTTTATGATAGCTTAATTTAAAATATGTTTATATTCGTTTAATAATTATATAGTTAGTTAATTAGTATTCAAAACACATATGTCAAAATATATCTCAAAGTTTAAAATACTTTTAACAGTGAAATGACTTATAAATTAATTATAAATTAATTTTTTTATTCTCATATCTAAATACCAATCAGAACCTTAAGTGCTATAAGCTGTTGAGCTGAAACTTCTCCTTACGGAGGGCGCTATTTTCACTTGGAAACATATTGCTATCTGTATTTCCAAGTGAAAATCGTTGTCACCGTCTGACAATGGGCTGCTCGAAGTAGGTATCGAACCCGGGATCCCTAAATCAAGTGCTGTCGGTCTTAAATCCTTACCTACGCGCCAGCCCAATATATTTTATTATATTAAATTTATTAATATTTCTATAGCCATGTTACGTAATTTTCCAATTTACGATTGCAAAGATATCACAAAACACATTCGCAAACATTTGGTGAACATATGTCGAAACGTTCACGCCGTCGTTAAATTTATTTATCCATGTCATAAAGTATATAGATTTATAAAAATAGCTGAATATAGAATGTCACGAGAACATTTATATTTTAGCAGTAAATCTTATTTTTATAATTTGTGACAATTTTCATGGAAGTTATAATTTCTGGAATTAAGATGTAACATTCAACATATAAATAAGCTGATCTATTCTTATATAAATTATTCAGAAGTAATACTTTCCAAACATTTCAGTTTTTAAATTTTACGATAGGTAAATACAAACTAATTTTTACGTATTTATTCAACTTCATTTAATTGAATCATAATTGTTAAGGTATTTCCGAAACTAGAATAGTGAAATGAAATTTTCAAAAATACCATCTTTAGTTTCATTTTTTATTCCTTCTTACAAAGCAGGCATACCTACTTTACCATATATTTTATTATTTTTAACCTTTTCCTTTACTTTACCCCTACCTATATAAGGTGCTTTACCTTTACCTTTACTCTATCTATATAGGGTGCTTTACCTATATATTGTGCTTTACCTTTACATTTACTTTACCTCTACCTATATATGGTGCTTTACCTATATATTGTGCCTTACCTTTACTTTTACTTTACCACTAACTAAATATAGTGCTTTACCTATACATTGTGCCTTACAATTACCTTTACTTTACCTCTACTTATATATGGCGTTTTACCTTTACCTTTACCTCTACCTATATATGGTGCTATGATGCCTATATATGGTGCTTTACCTTTACCTTTACTCTACCTATAAATGGCGCTTTACCTTTACCTTTATCCCTACCTATATATGGTGCTTTACCTATATATTGTGCCTACCCTTAATTTTACTTTACCTCTACCTATATATGGTGCTTTACCTACAATCTACATATTGTGCTTTACCTTTACCTTTACTCTACCTGTACATGGCGCCAGAAATGCACGAAAGTAAAACATAAAACCCAAAATAGCAATTTCAATTGGGTTTTCACAATGATAAAAAAGAAGACGAATTTTCTTATAGACATATGAAATACGTGAGCGCGGCTCATTAGATAAACTGTGCTAGAATTGCATTATAGATTGAACGATATCATTGATAGTTTATGTACACGTAAAACAACGATTTCTTATTGCAGTTTAAATTAGATATTTATTATAGATTCATAAGTCTATTTTATCAATACATCAATCGTTAACTGATAACTATTGATCAATCAAGAATCTTGTCACTGTGTGAACTTTTACTTGTGATTGTTTTTTTTTTAATTTTCACAAATCAATTTATTTAACATTGGTCTAATACTAAACCTTTATTTTATTTTACAATATAATTTATTAATATCAATAATTAATATTATTCATTAATATTAATACGGTTTTATTTGTTTATTTTAGTGGCTTCTAATTATTCAATCCTGCGGTCTTTTGATAATTTTTGATTATGTAGTTCTTAGATATATTATTTATTTATAATTGCATCCTATATCTAATAATTAACATGCTCTTTGATATATAAAACTCTAAAAAAATTTTTTTTTAAATATAATTTGTCAAGTGTAGAGCTATTAATATATTATCTTCTCATCAACAATATAGTCATTGCAACTATAGTATATAAACAAATTAAGATTGATTTTAAAACAACTAAATATTCTAAATGATTTTTGTATACATAGCAATTCAAAATATAGAATTATCTATTTTGCTCCCCATCAATATCGAATAAATCGTTACAGATATTCAAAATTATATTAATATATATTTTATTGTAAAAACAACCAAAATAGTTTATTATTAATTGTTTACATTCTAATTTTCTAATAATTATCACTGATTGTTGTTTGTGTTGTTTGTTTCTTTAAACTGATTTTTAAAATTCAAATGAAAAATTTAATTGATCCAATCAATTGTAAATTAATTTCTGTATATAAATTTGCTGAATATGTCATTATTATCTATAGCCTTTGTATTATCAAAGTATTAAAAAATTAATTTTAGATTTATTTTTAAAATCGATTTATTAATAATTATGTTTCTAGTCTCAAGTAACAATTGGAATTGAAATAAATATTGAAAATTGTGTTTCTTAAAACATGAAATAATATTAGAAATCATGTTCGATGTGATATATATATATATATATATATATATATATATATATATATATATTATATAATATATATAAATAAGATAAAATATAATATATTATGAAATCCAATACCGGTTGCTATGGACGCTACTTGAAAATAAACATCGGATATACTTATCAAAACCAGTTCGATAATTTAAAACTTCACAAAAGCTATACAAAACCAATAATCATGTAACTAATAAAAAAGTATATTAAATTGTTGTATAGTTCTAAAACCAATACAAATTATATTTTCTAACTTTTAACATATTAATATAAAATAAAAGTTAAAAAAATACAAGTTGCAGAAATGTGAAGTGCAATAAAGAGACAAATTTGGTTATAAGTAAAGTGTAGAAAAATTTGTGTAGTCTAGTTTTAGTATGTTTCCGTGCATAGACTTAATAACATTGTAAGTTCTTTATTAACATGCCGCTGTTAATTAAAGTAAAAATTAATTCAATAAATATGAGTAGTAAATAAGATACGTGTATACGAACTTCATTAAAAATAAAATTATTTTTATCAATTATCGGTTTAGTCAAACAGCAGTATCATAAAGTTATGCTATTTATTTATTGCATATTTAGAACATGCAAATGAAATAAATATTTAATTTAATATTACTATAACATGCGGTTACTTCGGACAATATTTACTAAGTAGTAAAATATTATATTTTAGTAAATAATGTTTAATGTTTGCGTAATGTTTATATTTTTATTTGTACAAAAAATTAAAGTATTGAAAAAACCCTGAACGACTGTCGATCCAAATGTATCTAAATTCAAATTATAGCCATAAATTTTCGTGATCTATTATTTTCTCGTACCGGTTAGTGAAATTATGTGTTTTGTATATGATTACAAAAAGTTACTGAAGAATAGTTTATTTGAGTTTAATTTGTTTTATAAGTTAAGTTTAGATTTACGGTATAGTTGAATAAGTTTGGTAATGCAGAGTAATATAGACATAGGTCTAATTAAATAAGACTAATGTGCATTTTGTAAATTGATATAAATAAAACATGAAGTAATGGTCATATTCGGTGAATTTTTAAATAGATAAAATCATATTCGTATTCTTAATATTATAGAAAGTAATTGAAATATATATATATATATATATATATATAGTATTAGTATCATGACAACGTGTAATCGATTTGAATCGGTTTATGATTGATTTACATGCCAACATGTCTTTCGTGTCATAAGTTAAAATCAGAATTTGTTTCTTAGCCGAAAACGATAAATGTGTCAATAATAGTTCAACACGAATGCATAAATGGTATATATTCCGATATTAAATAGATTAGTCATAGTTGAATAAACTTTAAGTTGAATTTTAGTATATTATTCTCTCATCGTACGTATTCATGAGTAGATCGTTTAATTAAACTAAACTATTTTTGAAAATTTTATTTTAAAAAAAATTGCTCAACTATTTATTGATAAATATTGATTAGTTAAAAAAAAATTGTTTGAATGCTGTTAGTTCAAAATTAACAATATTCGAAGAGTAAATATTAAAATGACTACAACGTAAGAGAAGTGTGTTTGGAACAATTTGGAATCTATTTAATAAAGTTCAACAATGGAGGACAGATAAAAGCAATTTTATGTTAGTAACATGTGTTACGTTATTAATAAAGAATTTACCAGAAAATGGATTATTATGAAGCCGATCAAGTACGTTATCTTCAAGCTGAGCTTTTTCCCGTTTGTGTTATTGCCAGAGGTTTGTGGGAGATTTTAGACGGTTTTTGTAATAAATAGTAAATACAGAATATAAATAATATATCAATTATGAAGTGATTAGATTTTTAGATATCAACATATAAGTTTTCCATTTCCCATTCCCAGTGTACCAAAATTAACATTTTAATCTATATTTATTTCATGCTCCATTGACGTATTGATTTGGTCTGAAATGTACATTTGTTTTATAGTTTTCCAAAATCATAGTACAGCTCCAGTAAAATAGAGCTTTAATAATATTGGTTAGCAAATGTTCAAATCTACAATACCATTTCTGGAGTAATTAAAATATGATTATGCGTTACACCATTGATTTATATTTAAGTATTATATTTTATTTCTTGAACAAGATTTTGTTGTTAAGGTGGCCTGCTGGGAAGTTTTCTTCAAAGATCATTAAAAAGTAACCAGTTACGCGTCGATACTCATTTTCCGCCTGGTATAGACGGAGGTGAGTTGGGAACCTTGAATGATGGGTCGGTGCAGGCCAGATTGCGCGAGCCGCGGGAACTCTTCACTTTACCCCGGGATCCAGAAGGACCCCAGCAAACTGCTAGGTGGCCTTCGGAATGCCAGGTAATCTTGAAAAATAATTGCTGTTATTCTACTTCTTCATTAACAATGTTAAACAAAGCATATTCTCTTTTCTCCTCTTTCTTGTATTTTTTTTAATCATGTATTTTTTTGCTTGTGAATATGAGCTATATCAAATAGTATAATTTATACAGATATTTATTGCTATTCATAATTTGTATTCATAACTATCGACTTATGATTTTTTTCCCTGTTTGGTTTACTATTTTTTAGTATATCGCTTCAATACTTTAATTTCTTGATCTAATTTTTAAATATTTTTAAGGTTTTGGAGGAACGAGTTCATCATATAGAGTATACACCTCCACAGCCTGAGCCTTATTATAACTTTAGCGGAAAAGAACCTCAGCCAAAGGTTATTGGTGAAGAAAGTGGTGTCGTGATTTATCAATATTATCCGACAAGTGCAGTTAATTATGTAAGCACATAGTCTTTTCTGACTTGTGAACAAATAATTTTTTTGACTTATATTTTGTCACAACTATGATATTTTTTCAGTTTAGTAGATCTACCGCAGGCGGTAGCAGATTATCTCCTCCGGGGACGTCGGCTGGACCGCGCGAGCCAACATCGGAGGACGAATTAGCATTCGAGTCGCGTTTCGAATGCGGAAATCTTGCCAAAGTGGTTAAAATTACCGACACTTACTATGAATTACATTTGAGATCTGATTTGTACACTAATAGACATATGCAATGGTACTATTTCAGAGTATCAAATACGAGAAGACGTTTTATATACCGGTAAACCTAAACAATTTATTTAAAGATAATCTGTGTTTTTAACATTCTAGCATTCAGATATTATTTCCTGTATTATATTAATAAAATATTCTGAACTAAGTAGGTTTTCTATAGTAAATCTATCAAAGGGTGAAAGCCTTTACACTTCGGGTATGCGCCCATTGCTTTATTCAACTCGCGATGCTCATTTGCACAGCATAGGGTGGAGAAGATGTGGTGATAATATCAGCTTTTATAAAAATGATTCATCGTAAGTGTAATAATTATTTGGAAATATTAAACAGCTGATATTTTAATTTATTAAAAATCATTAGAAATTTATACTGAAATTTCAACTTCATCATACTTTAAACTACTAAACAGTGATACTTTATTTATGGGAAAGTTGTATTTACCTTGAATTGTACATAAATTTATTACTGATAGCTAGTATTTTAATATTTGTTGTATGAATTATAACTAATAGTAATTTTTTCGCCAGAAGCGATGAGGAACCAGATCAAAGTGCTTCCTATACTTTAACATTCAATATAGAATTTCCACACGACAGAGATTCCGTATATCTTGCTCATTGCTATCCATATACATACACTGATCTACAGGATTATTTAGGTGAAATATTTATCATATATAAATGCTTTAATAAACAATAGACACTAAATTGCCATTCAAAATAATTATTTTAGGTAGAATTCAAAACCATCCAATAAAATCAACTTTCTGTAAATTGAGATTGTTATGCAAATCTCTAGCTGGCAATAACGTTTATTACCTGACAGTCACGGCACCTCCAATAGAAAATGAAACTAAGGTGACAGCAAATAGAAATGTATAGTTCTATAATTTTAGATATTAGGATAATTTATAAATTTTACTCTTACAATCAGAAAAAGAAAGCCATCATTGTAACAGCACGTGTACATCCAGGAGAAACACCGGCTTCGTACATGATGAAAGGTGATAAAATCTAATTATTCATAGATATAAGATATAAAATCGAATTAGTTTACTTTTTTCAAAAACTGTTTAACACTACAAATTCATGCTTATAACAATATTTATGATATTACCGTGCTTACGGTTCACTATTAAATATGATGAAAAATGCATATGCAATGAATTAATTACAGGTCTGATGGATTTCATAACTGGTGACTCAGCAAGGGCTCGTGAACTCAGGGCTAAATTCATTTTCAAAATAGTTCCTATGCTCAACCCCGATGGTGTAATAGTAGGAAATAACAGATGTTCATTAACTGGAAGAGATTTAAATCGACAATATAGAACGGTTATAAGGGAAACTTACCCACCAGTGTGGCATACTAAGTTAATGATACGCAGGTGGGTCATAATAAAAACTTGAACTAGAATGTGTTTTATTTATTGTTTCTAGGCTAATATAATTAATATTTATAAAATAAAAAATATTGATTAATGAAAAAGAGGATTTTTAAGCAAATTTATAAATCCCCAATTTTGTAGATTGATGGAAGAATGTGGCGTATTGATGTATTGCGACATGCACGCACATTCGCGCAAACATAACACTTTTATATATGGCTGTGAAAATAAACGAGGAGCAGACAAACGCCTGTTGGAGCAAGTTTTCCCTCTGATGCTCCATAAAAATGCTGCAGATAAGGTTAAATTAAGTGTGCAAATAATAAATAATTTGCTGAAAAATGTAAATTAAAGAATGTTTTAATTATCATATCATTTTCATAGTTTTCCTTCGAATCTTGCCGTTTTCGCATTCAACGGTCCAAAGAAGGCACAGGACGCGTGGTTGTATGGCTGATGGGTGTTGCCAATAGTTACACGATGGAGGCTTCATTTGCAGGCTCAGCATTGTCTTCCCGAGCTGGTACACATTTTACTGCTCAGGATTATGAAAATATGGGTAAATCTTTCTGCGAAACTCTATTGGACTACAGTGATGAGGATCCCAGCAAGGTAAAAAAATTTTTATGTTTACTTCAGCATAAGTACCAATCATTATAATTTTAAATAGTTTTGATTAAACTTAGATTTCATTCATTAAAATTAATCTTAATTAATTATTGTGTGGCAAAGTGTGCGAATAAGCAATAGAAAAATTAGTTATGAATTTAGTGCAGTAAACGGAGCGTTTTAGGTCTGAATTTTTTTACTGTGCTCCGAATTGAATGAAATTTTGGAATTAGGTTCATCTTACCCTCAAGTTCAAAAGTGTAAACAATTCGGGTTGCGCCATCACCCCCCGGGGGGGTGACACCCCTTCTTAATTGAGTAATTACATTTTTTCAAAATAACATTGGAAATTGATAGAAGTACTAATTATAAGGAAAAAAATGTCTTTTATAGTTTTTCAAAAAAAGTAATACTTTTCAAGTTACTGGCCACTAAAGATTCATATATTTTTGGCGTTTTTCTTCGTTTTTTTTGCAAATATCTCCTAAAATATACATTTTAACGAAAATCATGTAATGAACAAAATAATGTCAATGAAAATCTTAATAAATCGGTATTACATAAAGTGTTCTAAGAAAAATATTGAGCAAGATTTGAAAGAGCAAAGTCGTTTTTTATTTCGTTGAAGATTTAATTGTTGTATTTAAAGCCATCTAGTGTCGAGGTTTTACATTTATGCATTTCGGTGAAATTGGGTTTTATAGTGCTCATCATAAGCTTTAAAATGAGTGCTGTTACAAGTTTTTTGCGTTTAAAATGAGTGAGCTATCACGCAAATAAGAAGCATATACGAAGTTTTTTTCTTTTAAATCATATGGTTTAATGAGCGCCATTTCCACCAGAATTAGAGTAGTTCACATTCCATCTAGAATTCACTTCATTATAGGCATCTTGATGGATTCTAGCAGATTCACTACTTTAGCACAAACTATTTTCAGAAAACTCACGATTTTATAAAAACTTTTTTTTCCATTTTTTTTAAAAATCGAAATTATTTTCATTATATCTTAAAAAGAATAAAAGATACGCATAAAAGCATATAGATCAAAATCAAAGGGATCTTTTTAGCTTATTATTGTTTTTTATTATTTTTCTTTCACACAAAAATTGACAGAGTTATGAATGTTTAAAGACTGCGCGGCCGCGCAAATTGGAAAAAAAAGTTTTTATAAAATCGTGAGTTTTCTGAAAATAGTTTGTACTAAAGTAGTGAATCTGCTAGAATCCATCAAGATGCCTATAATGAAGTGAATTCTAGATGGAATGTGAATTACTTTGATTCTGGTGGAAATGGCGCTCATTAAACCATATGATTTAAAAGAAAAAAACTTCGTATATGCTTCTTATTTGCATGATAGCTCACTCATTTTACACGCAAAAAACTTGTAACAGCACTCATTTTAAAGCTTATGATGAGCACTATAAAACCCAATTTCACCGAAATGCATAAATGTAAAACCTCGACACTAGATGGCTTTAAATACAACAATTAAATCTTCAACGAAATAAAAAACGACTTTGCTCCTTCAAATCTTGCTTAATATTTTTCTTAGAACACTTTATGTAATACCGATTTATTAAGATTTTCATTGACATTATTTTGTTCATTACATGATTTTCGTTAAAATGTATATTTTAGGAGATATTTGCAAAAAAACGAAGAAAAACGCCAAAAATATATGAATCTTTAGTGGTCAGTAACTTGAAAAGTATTACTTTTTTTGAAAAACTATAAAAGACATTTTTTTCTTATAATTAGTACTTCTATCGATTTCCAACGTTATTTTGAAAAAATGTAATCACTCAATTAAGAAGGGGTGTCACCCCCCCGGGGGGGGATGGCGCAACCCGAATTGTTTTCACTTTTGAACTTGAGGGTAAGATGAACCTAATTCCAAAATTTTATTCAATTCGGAGCACAGTAAAAAAATTCAGAGGTTATACCCTTTTTTCCTCTCCGTTTACTGCACTAATTATGGAATTACATAGCGACTATATGATCGGTACTATGAGTTCTTTTTACACTTCTAAATAACTTGTTTTAAATAACTTATATTTATTATTTTAATAACGGAATATGTCTATATAGCAGAACCCAATTGAAATCTCTATATAAATTTTAGGAAAGACTTAGGTGTAAAATCATAACTAGACTCGTACAAGAAGGTTCTACTGCTGATGAACCTATTAACATCATGCTGTCTGATTACTCAAGGTACTTAAAAGAGCAGTTTACCAATTTAGCAATATTTCATTAAAAATTTTATCATTTCTTAGTGATGACGGCGATAGCTCGAGCAGTTCAGACTACGATCTTTTGTTCAATAAGAAGGAAGAAGTACTCGTGGTACCACCACCGTCACCAGTAATTTTAAATAAGTACAAGAAGAGCAAGAAGGTACTCAAAATGCAAATTCCAAAACTGAATTATATTGTTAACATACAAATTTTAAACAGATACTTAGTGAAATTTAGAAAATTGAATTTCAGAATAAAAAACAGCTGTTAAAACCAATAAATAGAACCAAGTCGTATCAGCGAAAAGCTATTAAGGTAAAAAAACTATATAAATTTCTACACAATCCAAAATATATATACATGTGTTTAATGTATTTATAAATATATTATGCATTCATGCTTTGAATTACTAAATTATAAATTTATATATTCTATATTATAATATAGTAATGAAATTATTTTTTCAAGATGGTGCGCACCACGTTGGATTTACCAACTACCGATCCTGGAAGTGATTTATGTACAACAGAAATAGATTCAGGAGATGATACAGAGCCCGTAGCTATCTCAAAAACTTCATATTCGCCTAGAACCAACAGTAAAAATCTACAGAATCGTCAAAATTTGAATGATGACAGGAAACGTAAAACAAAACGTCGTTCAATGCCTCCAGAACTAGTCGTTAAAATAGCGCAAGTGAGTGTAGTTTGAAGAAAGTTAAGAAAACATGTGCGACAAAAGTCAATAACTATTATAATAAATTTTTAATAAATTTTAGAAGTATGAACAGGTTTCGGATAATGAAAGTTACACAACAAAAAGAGAAGCGGAAATCCAAATCCACATAGAGCGTCAATCCAGCGAATACGAGTTTCCTAAAGATTTTCCGCCCGTTGATAAACTGCGCACCTGCCCGTGGAATCAATTTAAGAGTCTTCCTCATAAGTATATAAAATATATCTAATTTATATTAATTTATAAATGAATATTTAGTTTTTAACACTTAAAATGTTTCAGAAGAACTAAATTGCTTGGCCAATTTTTATTAATCATTTAATGATTTAGGGAAACGAATGGAAAATATTTATAAAAGATTTGAAACCTTATATTTGTATATATATACTATCAACCTTGTCAGTTTAATATCACTTTTATTAATTCAACAAAGTTTTGCATTTACAGGCAACTATTTTACATATAATGACTTACAATATTTGATAATCATCTTAACAAGGTTCTAGAATTTCGAATAACTTGTTATTAAAATAAGTTGAATGACCATATAAATAACGTTCTAATGTTCAACCATGTTTTTTTTTTCAAAGACAGTTTTCAGAAAACCGGGGTGATCGCTCAGGCGAGTTGCGTGCTAAGCTTCTTACAAGCACGGCGCGGCAGCAGGTGTGGACGGGCACACCAGAATGGGGACCCAGGGCACCCTTATCATGGGGTCTATCAAAAATGTTACACTTTAATGGAGATAGTACCGCTTTGTTAAAGTAAGAATTTAACAAATTATTATGTGTTTTCACATACGTTATTTAATATAAAAATGTAAATTTCATTACATGTATGATCATTATTAATTTTTAAGTTAATCATTTGATTACTTTATTAAGAGAGTTTTATATGATCATGATTTGTATAAATTAACAAAACTGTTTTATTTTCTAAGATTTGTTCAAATAGTAAATTATTCAAGAATATATCAATAAATTATTATTTGGATATTTCAGATCATGCTCGCAAAAACTTCTTACCCTTGAACGTATGAGTTTGAATTATCACATGAAAATATTGAATGAAGCTAAAATCGCAAAATCATTAAAGAAATCATTCAGTCAGTCAGGAGCCAATTACGTGCAACAATCGAGCGATGGAAATGGCTTAGAAAATCGAAAACGAAAACCAAGGTATATATATTCTGCACCTATTATATAGAGTCGAGCGGGGCTTAAAGGTCCGCGGGTAAAAAAGCCCACCATTAATCTCAAAAACAAGTAAAATTAATTTTTCTAACAATAATAATTGAAAGAAAAGGAAACAAGATGTATAACCAGCCATCACCTTGATTCCTCAATATTGGAATTTTTTTAACAAAAGTAATTTCTTTTGTTGTTAGTTCTTTTGGTTGCGAGCGCTGTTGTTTAGTTTACGAGACCTCAATATAATTTTTAAGTATACGTTAACAATAAAAATTAGAAAAGCAATATATCTGTCTATGGGGTAAAAAGGAGCAGGTGGCAAATTTCTGAAAAACAGCAAAAAACACATTTTTACAATGAAGAATTAGCTTAGAATTTTTGTTGTGATATAATCAATTTAGTTTTTACAATATGATTGCTCAAAGTCAAATTGGACCTTTGTGCCCCGGCGTACCTTATATTATAGAAATGTCCAACCGCAAACTCTTCATAGTAATTAATTCAAATAAGTACTTGTAAATGCTTATATTTGGGTGTGGATATAATTAGTTGATTGATAAAAATGATAGAATTTTAATGGATGGTAATAAATTGAATTGCATTGTAATACAAACCGCGTGCATCGTAATGCATTGTTAGGAAACAGATTTCCATCAGAGTTTTATTTGAATACATTCTAATCTCACTGTGTTGATTATTTAATTTCAGACTTAAGCGATCTGATAAGGCTACTAGTAAAGATAAACCAGAAATACCATTACCATCTTATTTATATTGCTGGCACAAAGGACATAGAAAAAGAAAGCCTATAGCAACACAAAACACAGCAAAAACTGTCATGTCATTTGCTAGTCCCGAGGAATCTAATGTAAAAGTTAGTCGAAATAACGGATTAAAATTAGGGGGTCTTGCTGTTATGGCCATTAATAATAACACTAATAAACAAACACATAAACTGAGGCGTCAACAACGAAAGGCAGAAACAAGCTCGGATACGGAAACAGAACATAAATCCAAAGCTCAAGACGGGAAACAGAAAAATAAAAAAAAGTTGCTAAAGAGTCGTAGTAAATTAGTCTCATTTGATAAAGTCAGTAAGAAATTGTAATAAACTAAAAATTTCATAAATTTCATTCATGCCATTCTTAGAATTATTATTATTCAGAGATATATTCTTAGAATTATTATTATTCAGATCTGATATTAACATAATGCTTTACAATTCTTTTATTAATATAAAATGATCTTAAAAACGTACTTGAGAACACCATATATTTTTTATACTTTTACAGAAATTTTTAGCTACTATATTGTAGCTCAGTATATGGTGAGTATGAGTACCTACGCTCATGCTATAAATTCAATAAACAATATTTGATAAATAAAAATGAAAACAAAACCATAAATTAAGCATTTGGAATAAAAACAATACATATTGAAATAATAATTTAACATGAAATAAAATGTGGAATATATACCTTTGATTTTAATTTATATTTCTTGAATGTCACAGTTAGATTACACTGACACAGTTTCTTATAATTCTTAAATTTATGAATTATCACATTGTTTCTCAGATTGCACAAATTAATTAAGGTTACTTTTTTATTTTTATCAAAGATACAGATAAAGACGTTACTTTTTTAACTATTTAAATTTATTTATTTGATTTAGATTTAAGTTTTGACTGTTTTAGATTTAATTGAAAAGGGTTTCTCAAGAGATATGAAGTTAGCAACGATACCAAGAAAATTATGAATTGACTGGAGTGAAAAACATTCGCAATGTTGGATATAAACCATAATCATTACACAAATAAGAAATATTTGGAAAATAGGCACTTTAATAACTACTTGAACATAGAATATATAATTTTTTTAATTTTCCAGCAGAAAATTACAACTTACGGTAAAAATATACATATCAAATAGAACATTATTATTTTCAGCATAAAATATGACTATTCTTTTATCTATGACTACATCATTGTGATAAAAGTATACAAAGTTCTTTTAAAAAAAAAAATACCATCAATAGATTTCAAATTGATAAAGATATTAAAATTATGTTTTTGTGAAAAAAAATACATATATTTCAATCGAAGGAAATAACTGTAAGAACTAAAAACCGCCATTTAATCCATTCAAACCAATTCAAACCATTATATTATACAAATTCAAACCATTATATCCAAACCAATTCAAATACTCTTCTTTTATCTATAATCAAACCATTATATATTGTCTAAGATTCAAACCACATGAACTTTATTTTAGTTTTCTATAGTTGGTTAACTTTGTGTAAAACTGATGTGAAGTATCATTCGATCTTTCATCGATGTACGGTTTAAATGTACATGTCATACGCGTAGTTAAACAAGGGTTAAACAGCCGAACAGTGTTTTAGCGCGCTTAACCTTAGCTTCAATTTTAATTTTGTTTTTATTGACATACTCCTAAAATTATTTTCGTGATATACAACTTTCTTCTGCTTTATCATAAAGTTTTAAATTAAATCATGCCTAGACTGAAAGCTCAATTGTCTAAATCTAAAAACAGTGATACTGTAAAAATATGTAGTTTATGTACATCAGAAGAAGGAGTTTTCACAACGCTTTTACCAGAGAAACTTATTAATATTTATCAATTATTTCAGCCTGATATGCCAGTAAGTTTTTTTATTATCTAGTGTGAAAGTTATGATTATACCTATAAAATAATTAAATTGTAAATTGCGTTGTTTGTTTTAGGAAAATTCTGAAGCAAAAACTTTGTGTCATAGGTGCATTTATAAAATTACAGTTCTAGAAGATTTTAAAAAATTATTAGAATGCGATATCCAAGATCAGGCATGTGTTTTATGTGGTGGTTCTCCACACTCTGATCTAGATGTAGCCCAATCATTCGTCGATGAAAAGATACAACTATGTCATTACATTAACGTAAGAAGCTTTCTCTTAAATGATTTTAGTTAAATTACTATAACTAATGTTTTTCAACCATTGATAATGAGATTGATGGCACTCAAATTATAGATTAAACAAATATGATATAGATATAATTGATTACATATATTACTACAGCACCTTAAATTAGTTAGATTACAATACTTGAAACTATTGATATTATTTATTAATGTTTGATATGTACTTTTTTTTTTACAGAGATCATTTAAAAGTAATGATACCATTTGCTCGAATTGCTATTTCAAACTTGAGCTTTTTAAAGAATGCAAAAAGTATGCATCAGCAAATTTTGTACCTGAGGGAAGAAGTGTTAGTGCTCTTACAAGCACAAGTAAACTCGCTTCAGTAAAGAAACTAGTCGATAGAGATTTAATCAAAGTTAATTCAGTTATTACTAAGGATAAAAAAATGTACACATTGATAGCTCGAGTAGATGTTATTTCTAATATGACGAAGGCTGTTAAAAGAAAGTTAGGTTTAGATATGGTGCAAGGCACTAAAAAGGTCAGTATATACTTTTTAAATGAATAATGCCTAACACACACACAAACATATATATATATATAATATATATATATATATATATATATATATATATATGTACAGTGGCGTCGGAACCGTGTGGGCTGTGTGGCCACCCATGAATTTTCAATCTCAAAAAATTGTATGGGCTGATATGTCTAAAAAAAAAAAACGAACCCACTGCCTGCCCAGAGCCCACTCATCAAAAATTTGCTTCCGAAGACGGTGTATATATATATATATATATATATATATATATATATTTGCTGGCACACAACATATATGTTAATTAACTCCAAGGATATGACTTTTTCTTCGGAGCCATATCCAGGCAGTTATATATTGATATTTATATTAGTTTTCATATTTCTCTCTCTTCTAATCATATCCTGGATCATTTATCATGTACATGATATTTACATTTACTTGTGTTCATTACATGAAAGATTTGGTTCGAAAGAAGCAGTCACATTCATCTCACTGCTGGCAACTCTTACTTTCTCCTGTTTGCATACAAGATTTGACGTTTTCAAAAATATGAATTCTATAAGTTTTATTTTTTTAAATTGTTAATTAAAATATGTAGTATTAAACATTTTATTGATTAATATAGGTTTTTTTCTGATCTTGGTTTAAGTTTTAGTATTTCAAAATTTTTGTTGCACTTTTGCCATACTTTTGAGATTTTCATATATGCTATGAACAAAAATGTTTGACCTGTTTGTAAACGAATATTAATCGCACACTATAAAACACATTTGTGCTGAGGGCTATGTTCCTGAATGGTAAAGTGGTAAATAAATATATGAAAATTATATATATATATATATATATATATATATATATATATATATATATAGTATTTCTAAATAATATAAGAGAATGTTCCAGGGTATACAATTTTTTTTATTTTTGTAGTTTTGTAATGCAGATGGATGTGCATTTTAAAAAGTAGTCATTGATTATTAGATTTTTACTTATAGTTTTATTTTATATTTTTGAAATCAGTAGCCTAATCTATAATTATTTCTTTGAACATATTTACAACATGTACTTATATATTTATATATGTGTATGAATTGTATAATTTATTTTGGATAATTTTTAAACAATATATCAATTTTAGGTTAAAGTAGATACTGCTAAAGTGTCTCAAAATAAAAAAGATACTTCAAGTAATAAAACAGTTTCTCAAAGAGGTGTGTTGATTATTTACAAAAGCTTAAGTTGCATTAACATGTTCTTGTTCCTTGTAATATTCAAGAATGTTTTACAGGTCGTCCTAAATCACAAACCCCGACAAGAAAACAATTGCAAAGTAAGAAAAAGACAGGTGCTGAAAAAATTACAACAGAAAACATTTTAGATGAAGCAGGTAATTATTTAGAACACTTTACAAGAAAATCTAAAATGATATTTATTATTAAATCATATATTTAATGTTATAAATAATGCTGCTACTTTCTTGACACTTCTAATTTTTAGCATATTTATCCTATTGAATTTCATTGAAGACTTACAAAACATATGTTTGTTGTGTTAACACCCATAATTATATTCTCTAATTATCCATTATTCATAATGGGTACTTTTATATACAGTAATAATTGATAGTCAATTATGATGAATTTTAATTTCATAATTTATTCACATAAAGTTGTCTTCACCTTGTTCTATTTATTATTTTGCCTTCATGCCTTGAATTAGAAAATTTGTTTTGTCTATGATCTCTTCATAATATTTTGTGATAGCTTGGGAGTTTGCTCTAATATCCTTTCATATTTATTTTTATAGAGGCAAAAGCTGAGAAAAATGAAAAAGGACGAACTTTGGAAAATGGATTAAAGGATAATAATGAAGTTGATAATTCAGTTAGTCTAATTGAAAGACTAGAAGGTTAATAGTTTTTTTTTTCTGAATTTTATGATTTCACAGAAGATTACATGAATTTTTCTTATATATATTCTGTCTTATAGCTGAGAAAAATGAAAAAGGAAGAACTTCAGAAGATAGATTAAAGGATAATAATGAGGCTGATAATTCAGTTAGTCTAATTGAAAGACTAGAAGGTTAATAGTTTTTTTTTTCTGGATATTATGATTTTACAGAAGATTACATGAATTTTTCTTAAATAATTATTATAATAAATATTTTTTGACTTCAAGAAAATATACTAAATTTTATTGTTTTAAATATGTTGAAATCCATATAGATTTATTAGACCTTTTAAATTATTTCCCGTGTAAGATATTTTATATATTTGTATTAACTGAAATATTGTGCCTAGTATTAATATTTATTGAAAATCTGATGGTGATTAACTACAGAAATTTTAATTAATTTAATGCTTAAATTAAACATTGAAAAATTATATAATAAATTCATCAGCACCTTCAGTATTTTATGCTTTTATTAACCTGGGTATGTCGATAGGATCCAGTTTATTTTTGTCAATATATTAAAATCTATATTGAAATATTGAAATACATTGCATGAAAGTTTAATAAATGATTATATTTATATAATGAAGACACCACAGCATCTACTTCAAACACAGCTGATGATGAAATAGGGATTGCTGATGAAAATAAAATAACTAAAAATGAAGATGACAAATCTTCTGGTGGTAATGATGTGGACAAGGATATCGGGGTACCTGAAAAAAAGCCTAGGAGTAAGATTGGTTCTATATAAATACATAGATATTAATAAGTAGATATCATACACACATAATTTAAACATAATAATAATAATAAATAGTTATATGTTGAAATTAGATATTAATTTTGATTTGTTATGCAAACTGATATCCTTCGAGTGGATTTACTGAAATTTGTTTTTATATTTATACAAATTATCAGCATCTTTCTATTTATAGATCAAATAAAAATAAAACTTATTTCACCGACTAAGAAAAAGAAAAATGCAAAAAATAAGGTTCAAAGACAAACTAAGGCTAATAAAAAGGTTGATGTAGTATTAATGGACTGTAAAGTTCTATTAGAAAGCAATATGTTAGCTGATGTTCCAGCGCAAATTCAAACTGAACTAATAGAGTCTACAAACAAAAATAGTATGATTTAGTTTGCTATTATATATTATTTAGAATTTTTATTTGTAATGTTGTTTTAGTGATGGAAACTGCACTTGGAAATGAGGTTCCAAATACCGATCAAAATATGTCTGAGAGTGAAAAGCCTGATAATGAATCAAGCAAAATTTCTACGATTTGTCTTGTTTCACAAAAAGAAGAAACATCTGAAGATGGTGAGAATTACTAAAAAAATTTTATCTTAAAACTAAATGGTAACAACTTGTTTGAACAGTTTAAAGTGTGTAAAAACTTTAAAACTTCCTTGTGAATTAAGTTATTTCAAGATGTTTTTGTTTTGGCATAGTTTAGTTACAATCAATTTATTTTTAATTCATTAGTTTACTATTATATATTATTTAGAATTTTTATTTGTAATGTTGTTTTAGTGATGGAAACTGCACTTGGAAATGAGGTTCCAAATACCGATCAAAATATGTCTGAGAGTGAAAAGCCTGATAATGAATCAAGCAAAATTTCTACAATTTGTCTTGTTTCACAAAAAGAAGAAATATCTGAAGATGGTGAGAATTACTAAAAAAATTTTATCTTAAAACTAAATGGTAACAACTTGTTTGAACAGTTTAAAGTGTGTAAAAACTTTAAAACTTCCTTGTGAATTAAGTTATTTCAAGATGTTTTTGTTTTGACATAGTTACAATCAATTTATTTTTAATTCATATGGAGCACAATATGAATTTTCAAATACATTTTTGTAATTGTGATTTCAATAGAAATTGATTGTACTTAAAACAAGTAATTTCAGTGAAATTCATCATAAAATAATAGCTATGTTAAATTCTAATATATATTACAGCACAAGTTGAGCAAGAAATTTCATCTAATGATGGTAATAAGAAGATAGAAGAAACGATTGTTGAATGTTCCACTGAAAACGCTGATCGTAAAGAAAGTGAAGCATGTAAGATTACCATTAATGTTCAAATTATTTTGTAAATTTGGACACATTATCTTTCATTTTAAAATTATATAAATGAGTTGATAATTAAATAAATGATAAATAAATAATTAATGAAGCCGTTAGATAAAATTTGCATTGCATCTGCATTTTATAAAAACTTAAAAATTAAAAATCCGTTGTCTTTGAAATTGAATGACTCTTTTCTGATAGATGCTTTTATCCGTTTTGCGGAAAGATTCTTTGGTTCATGGTGATTAATAGTATATATATATATATATATATATATATATATAATATAAATATATATGTATATATATAATATGTATAATCAATATTAATATTATTGCTGATTACCATTTGCTGTTTGAATTAGTTTAGATCAAAATATATTGAAACGAATAGCATTTAGTGTGAATACAATAAATTTTATGATTCATGTAACTTGCTGTAAAGCAGAATACCACTCGCACAGTGTATTTTATTATTATTTATTTGTTAATACTCATATACCCATGTCAATATTATCAATTTGCATTTTATTTTTTTGTTTATATATGATATCTTAGTACAGGCAGCTTAAAATTTAAATATATACTTAGTTTAATTATCAGAAAGTCTTTAATGGATGTAATATTTTATTTTTTAGTGCCAATAGAAAATGAAGTGCCTTTATCTGTTAAGATTACAGATGAGGAATCTAAGTCAGAGAAGAAATCAAAGCATGTAGAATTTGATTTATCTAATTTAGATACTCCACATGATGATCAAGATAATAAAGACGCGAAGAAAGAAACCACTGAAATTTTTTCAGTTAATGCATCACCAGAGCTCAAAGGTAACAGGAGCATTTATTTATTGGTATTAAATCAGTTATATGTAACTCTTCATGTGTTATGTTAGTTTCATTAGTTTATAGATTTTATCTATGAACTAATGAAATACATCTTTGAGTTATAATTTGTACCAAGTATTTATATAATATGCATTATTTCTTTAATATTAAGATTTTATGAATTATGTATGTTATGAAAATATTACTATCATACTTCATTTTCCATGCTTGATTCGTTCTGGAAGCAAATTTGTTATGCAAAATGCTTTTTTCGATAGTATAAAATGAGTCTTAATTATTTTTGTGATTTTATATTTTTAATTAATGATATTAAAAGTCTGAAATATATTACAATTCCAGATTGCTCATTTTACATAAACTACTTAATGACTGTTATTGCTATAGTGACAAAAGAAAGATGCTTATAAAAATGAATCATTTTTAATTAAATTATTTCTTTCTTCATAGATGAAAAAATAATTATAGAAAGTGAGGAAAATGGCAATGATAATCATTCTGAAATAATAGATAGTGTATTTTGCACAGAATCTATCGTCAATTGCAAATCTATTTGCAAAATCCATGAAGAAATAGAGCTTCCGCCAAACTCACTACCAGATGAAATTTTAGAAGATGAAGAAATGCCATTGATAGAAGAAAAGCAAAACGGCTCTAATTCTGAAGCTAATGCCCAAGAGCAACTAGAAAATAAAGCCATCTCTGAAAATCAATTAAAGGCAGAAGCTGAAAATAGTAATGAAGCACAAAATTCTGATTCAATAGAAAATTCCGATATGGTGCCAGATGTTGAAGGTCTCAATGTGGATAATGATATTGCTGAAAATAAAAAAAGTAAAGTAGAATGTATGAAATCTTGTGATGAGAATTTTTCAGAATTATCTGATACCACACCTACAATTTCTGTTGCTGATAATACAAGTGAAGTAAACGATACAATGCAGAAAGAATTAAGTAGTTGCAACTTAATAGAAAATTTACCTAAAGCAGCCTTCCATGCTGACAGCAATGAAGAACCAACAATCATATGTGAAAATCGCCATAGTGATTTAGTAGAAAAAGAAACTGAAGTATTGTCAGGATTAGAGCCTAATGAAGATTTATGATCTTTTTTAAATTAATAGAACATCAAGTCATATGTAACTAATATTAATTATTTTTAAAATGGATCGTTTTTATTAAGTAAGACAATTTCACACTTTAAGTGGTTAATTCTTCACTAATGCTGTTTATGAATTCTGCTGAATTTTAATTATTGATATATTAAAGTTGTTTTCTTTCATGAATTTATTATATATAATTAGAAAGACTATTGTTAAATAAATATTAATTTAATTCATTTTTTAAATGTGTGTTGTGATTTTGCCTAATGGCTTGCTAATTAATTCCATTAGGCAACGATGTGTTTGACATCACGCTGCTCCTTTGCGATGAGTGCGGTGTGTACAATGATGCTGAGGATTCATGAATGGACTCTTCATTTACAGATTCTTCTTCAATATCTAAGGAGCTTGTATCTGACGTATCTTCCGACCAAAAGGGTGTCCTATCAATTTTCCATTGAATTAATTTAGTTAACATGTGGCCTTTGTCATTAGGATCGCCAGCTTTTAATACAGTCTTGAAAAACTGCTTCATGAGTTGTTGACCTGAAAGTGAGTGATTTTAAATATGATAATATAAATATATATATATATATATATATATATATATATATATATATATATATATATATATATATATATAGATATATGTGTATATATATATATATACATTATATATATATATATATATATGTATATATATATATATATATATATAATCTATATATTAATTATATATAGATTCAATAATCAATATATCTACTTGAAAAAAATAAATGTAGCTGGTTGTTTAAGTATTGATAATAGATATGTCATAATTAAAGTAATAATTAAAGATGTCGAAACAACAAATATATATATATATATATATATATATATACATATACATATATTAGGGTGGTCCTTAACAAGAACATTTTCGAATTTCTTTGCTCTCACGGGCGCAAAAGCTTCCAAATCAATAAAAAACGATTCTATTCTATATATATTGGCCATAATTTCTATGTGTAGACAGAATTGCTTTTCTACTTATGCATGCAAATTACTAGTTCAGTCAGAAACAAGATCGTATATCATGAAATAATGTATCATGAGATTCACAATACTTAATATATTCTTTGTATTTCATACTGCAATTAGCTAGATTTTCAAGTAAAAAAATGTAAGGTGGATCACCTTTAGCAACAGCGTGCATAGCGCGTGCTGCACTTAAATCCTGGTGTTTTTCGAGTTCATTATAAATTTGCATAGCTTTGTCAAATTCATCAACTGATTTTTTATATGAATTAAAGATGTCTAACTTGCTCTGTAAATAAAGTTCTCCGAGAGCTTGATGTGCTTTTGCGATAGAAAATCGTAATTCATGCGTTTCGGCCAGCTGCAACATCTTCATTAAATGCTTCTCTGCTTTAGGGAAATTCTTCATACTATATGGAAAGTTATTGCTCATATTTAGATGTCAACAGTGAGAAAATATCACTATTTTCTGTAAATGATTAGAATCGTCCAAACTGTGAAAACTATGCTTATCTTCTTATATCTAAGTATAATGGAAATGATATATTAATGGAATATTTTAATTTTGTCGTTAACCTGACATAATCTATACTGACTGCTAAATCTATTATATAAATTAAATTTTATAGTTTAATTTCCTACTCACAAAACTTGTACAATATATATTTTTATAAAAATATATTTTGTTGTACCTTATTTACAACAGAAATTATGGTGTTGCATTTTATTAATTTTATATTTTTTAGTTTCAAGGATAATTAATTCAAATAACTTACGCATCAAAAGTTCTCGATATTTGCAAATGTGCATCACAAGCTGAAATATAGTTTTCAGCTGCAAGGCTTCTTTTCATTGTTTCCCTAAAATTAGTCATTGCGTCTGAAAGTTCTCCAGTCGAAAGCATGCAAAGACCTTGTTCCATTAATGTTGCGGCTATCCCCTCATCACTATCGGCTTACGTAAAAAACAATATTGTAAATTGTAATTACATTAAATAGTGAATAGTATACGTAATTAGAAATATATATAAAAATGATTGTGATATTAATTATATTATTGATTGGCATTTCATGTAATTTACCTTCTTGCGCTCTTTTAATTGCTATTGCACAATAATCTGCAGCTTTTTGCGGATTTGTCTTACGTATTCTTTGCGACAGTTTCAACATTCCTGAATATAACAAACTGCAGATTTGCCGATACAAATTTTCGAAAGCACCTTCTACTTCTGGACTTGCTATCCATTTCTGAATATACGAAAGACAGATACATTCTCAAAAATTTTCAACAAAGCAGAAACAAGTATTATAAGATATACTTAATCAGAAGTTCTGATTAAGTATATCTAATTCAGAACATATTACCTTTTCTTTCGCAAGCTCTCTAGCAATGTGCAAATGCACGGCTCCTTCTTCTATTTGATTATCTGTTGCAAAATATTAAAATATTAATTATTTTTACATGCATAGTGATATGTAATTTATACTAATTGTAATAGTGTTGATGTACATTCTTTTATGAGAAATTGTCCGTATATATAACGGGTAACCGCTTCTTTACGGCCACCGTCAACACGAATTTGGGTAGCGATATCGATTGCCACAAGAAATAATTGATCAGATATCCAATTCCAGTCAGACTCCATTAAACGCATTGCCAGACGGACGAATTCATTACATTCTCCTATCGAGTCTCCTGAAATAAATTAATCTATACTGAATTTCTTTATAGAGCCATATCATACAATTTATTACTTATTTGATGGGAGGAATTATATTAGATGCTGATTTGTCTATTGATGTAAGTAAATAGGTTGTATTTTGAAAATTGATTATATGAATATAAGTATGCAAACACATGAAGTACCTCGCATTTTAGCATCCTCTGCTATTTCTAGACTGTTTACCACCATGTCGATTATCTCTGGAACATCCATAATGGTCGGTTTTGTCCATAATATCGAATGTTTTCCAGCATCCTCACGCATACGAACATTAAACTCAATTAGCTGATTAAAATACGCAGCAGATTCTAAATGACCAGATTCTTCCAAATCCAAAAATTTTGCTTTATAGTATGGTATACGATGCCTGTATACATATTAATGTTGAATGTTTGAAAACAAAAAAAATATTTTAATGTAAGGGTCACACCTTCGAACTTCTTGATATGTCATAACAGGCATTTTATTTCTGATCTCTTGTTTGAGTTTTTCGCGATTTTTTCGAGTAGCGGCTGAAAGACTAACTGCACGTACTTTCGCAACGTGCGTGAAACATTCATTGTTTCTTTTTTTGCCTTCAATTGACTAAAGAGTTATTAATTTTTTATCTTCAGTAAGTATTATTAAAAAAAAAATATGTTACAGCATCAGTAATAATTGTAAAGAAGTTATTACTCTACCTGAGAATATTCTACTTTTTTCACGTCTTCTTCTTCGCAGAGCTCTTCATCAGAATAATACTCGTTCAAACTATGTTCAATAGATGATATACCTTCCATAAAAAATAGAACATATTCATACTAACTAAATATTAAATGATTTTATTTGGATATTTTGACCAGTAAAAATTAGTTATATTTGTGCGATTTTTCACTTCATTCTTAATTTATACAGTTTATTGTTTTTTTTTTTTCATACAGTTTGTCTCCTTTATACTTGATCTCAATTTCTAAAATTAAAATAACATAAAAAAATGATAGAAAATAAAACCTTGCTCTGTTTCTCCAAGTTGAATAACTCTTTCCTTAAAACTAACATCGGGTGTAGGATGCTCTTCCTCATCTTGATCCATAATTTTTGTTAAAATAAAAACACTATAAAAATGTTAACGATAAACAAATGAAAAAACTGCTTATATGATTAAAGTTTTATTCAAATATAATATTACTGTTGTAATCAAACTTTATTAATTTTATTTTATACACTTCAGAAAATATGGGTTTTTCAAAAAGAAACTCGAGCTCGATCGAGCATGAACTTTCGGTAAGTACTATTCCCAATTTAGTTTCAACCAGGATATTTCCTACGTTTGAGTTTGTGAAGGAGTATCATGCTCATTTTTTATTATTTAGCCACATTTTAAAAACTACACTTCAATTGATTTTTTTGTGGTTTCATAATTATTGTAAAATGTACTTTCATTGTTATATATTGTTATATGCTTTAGGCGACATTCGGATGGATAGATTTTTGTGTTACATATATTTATATTTTATAAATTATAGTATTTGATTGATTTGACGTGATTTATATTATAATAATATATTATTGTAAGATGTACTATTATTGTTAGTTGTTGTTTTATAAATAAATAATATTTTATGTAGTTCAATTATATAAAAAATATTATATTTAGTTTTAAATTTTGTTCATTCAATATTTTTAGAAAACTTATTTGAGAAATTCAATGTGATTCTGTATTTACAATTGGCCGAGAGCGTTAATAAGTTTTCACTACGGTTGCTTGAGGTTCTCGGTTCAATTCTCGATAAGTCTCTTGATAAATCAAATGCGTTTCAGATTGAATAAATATCAGTTCAAAATATTAAATTCGGGTGGCGCATTTCGACCTTCACACTTAGAATATTTCTGAAAAACACTCAAAGTTCGCATTTGACTGTGATACATAATAAATGTAAAAAGGGATAAGAAGGTAGTGGAAGAACGAGGGAGAGATAAGGGTAGAGGTAGTAATGAATAAGAAAGATGTGTGAGAGATATATGAGTTATTGAAATTCACTATTAATACAGTATAATTATATATTCTTAAGAATATATAAATAACATTTGTCAAAAATATATCAAAAAGCAGAATGGTTAAAAAGCTACTGCCCCCGTGGATAACACTCTGAATCTGAAAAAATAGAGTTTTGGTTGCTGGCTGTTAGTGCACGCGGAGGGTCCTGAAAAACACAAGATAAACAACATGAGGCTCGTGATACAATATATTTACTTAGTCAGTGATTGATTAATTGAAAAATTATTCATATTTAATTTTTAAAGTTAATTTTAACATATAGAAACTTTGTAGACATTACTTCTTATATTATAAAATTTTATTTGATGTTTTTAGTTAGTTTTATTTCATTTAAGAAATAAATGCTGTAAAAGTAAATGAACCAACAATTATGTAGAAACTAAATAAAAGAGACTTAAAACCAAATATCAATGTCTTTCAAATTTACCGCTAACTCTCTTAAATACCTCTTTACTCCACGTTGGCAACACATATTTATTGCAGTTGACATTTTCACACACAACTTCATGTCGATTATTAATTTTAGTGGATTAGCTAAAGATGAGATCTTTTAACTAATTTTCATCTTATTTAGTATTTTGTACTGTGTTGAGTATTTGTTGATAATTTAATGATGAAGTTTGAGTTTTGAGAGCATGCCAGTGAAAGATAATAATTGTTGAGGCGTTAGAGTTAATAGTAAATATTGCAATGAAATGACAAGTGAAATATTTGTGTTGAGTTGTGGGCTACATTGATGGTCCAGCTGGTAAACGATTAAAGCATTGCTTGAATTATTGAAAATGATGAAAAGTGCAGTTCCTAAAAAGGAAGGCAAGATGAGGATCCGTGCTTTCCCTGTAAGTGACCGACAACAAATTTTTCAGTAAGGTTAAACACGAATTTTGTTCCTTCCCAATTATATGTTCCACAAATGACTCTGCTACAGTATTATTTAGATATTTTGTTATTGTGCAGATTGTGTTTTATTTTTATGTTCACTTAATCATTTTTTTAAAATGAAGTTCATTGATCTGTCAAGGTCATGATCCTGTTCCTTCAAATTTCAATCAGGTAAAATTTCCAAGTTCCACTAACTACATCTTGCGAGTTTCTTGAATTAAATACAATAATTGTTTTTGAATTAGAATAATCGTCAGTAATTGACAATTTTTCATATGACAGTTTGACATTTGGATAGTAGCCCTTTGTTTTTATAACTTATGCAAACAAATGTTTCATAAGAATTTGTTTTATATACATTTTAATTTTTTAAACAAAAATCCACATCAAAATTACAAAAAAAAGTTAAAGTTTAATGTAAATGCCTAACAAATTCTGGTAAATGAAGGTTTGGAGAATGCAAATTACTGATGATTTCCCTGCATTTTTGTTATGTTTGAAATTTAATGGTGCAAAATAAGTCGAGACCAATGAACAGTAGATTCCAAATATGGAACCCCAAATACAAGACACATCCAGAAATTTTGGTGAGGGTTGAATGCCAATTGCATAATGTATCTTTTGAAACATAATTTGCAACTGTCATGTTGACAAGTTGGTATATCAAGGGTAGTATGATTTGCTATAAAAATTGCTAATATGGTGAACTCAGTTATGATCTGTAATTAAGAAGCATTGAAAACTATTAATACTGTACGGAAAATCATTTCAATATTATTTTATAATGCGAGGTTATAAAGCAAGTTTTGTTAATAATTATTTTACTATTTAAATAAGAATTTCAATAAATTTATGTAGAGAACTTATACAGATGTATCAGTTTCTTTTAACAATAACATTTCATATCTTTCATACTAATCCACTACAGATTATTTAGATCAAAAATCAATTTTATTGATTCGTAATTTAATTGGTTACAAATTCATATTGGTTTTAATATCTTTTCAGATGACGATGGACGAAAAGTATGTGGAGAACATCTGGTCCTTATTAAAGAATGCCATACAAGAAATACAGAAAAAGAACAATTCAGGACTATCTTTCGAAGAACTCTATAGAAATGCATATACTATGGTATTACATAAACATGGAGAACGATTATACACAGGTCTCAAAGAAGTTGTCACACATCATCTGGAAACTAAAGTTAGAGAAGATGTACTGCGAATGTTACACAATACTTTTCTACAAACATTAAATCAAGCTTGGACAGATCATCAAACTTCAATGGTTATGATTAGGGATATTTTAATGTACATGGATAGGGTATATGTCCAGCAAAATGATGTAGATAACGTTTATAACTTAGGACTTATAATTTTCAGAGATCAGGTGAGTTTCCTTTATATTAAATTTGATTATATTTATTTGTACAGTATGTTACCCAGCTAAGTTTTATAAAATGTATATTTATTTTAAGCAATAGTAAAATTTGGCAAATTTGTGGTAAGAAGTTAGTAAAGATTTTTCCAAAAATACTTTTAAGCTACTCAAACTTTTACATTCCATAATAATTTGATTGTGATTTAGATTACAAGAAAGCGAAATAAATCCTCTTTGGTGTAAAGTAATGCAGATCATTAAGTTTTGCAATTGCTACTACCTACATACATATACTTTTACTATTCATTATTAGTGTAGCTTTTTATCATTATATAATATTTATAAAAAATTTCATAATGTGTCATGATCAAATTGTTTGACTTATACTCTTATATTGGAATAATTGAAATTATATTTACTTATATTTGTTTATATAAATATATATATATATATATATATATATATATATATATATATAAACTCTACAAAATATATATATATATATATATATATATATATATATACATGTGTGTGTGTGTGTGTAATTGCATGTATGTTGTTTTCAATTGTATAATTATAATATTGGCATCAATAATTTTTATTGCAGGTTGTGCGTTATGGTTGCATTAGAGATCACATGAGAGATACTCTTCTTGGAATGGTGATGCGTGAAAGAAAAGGAGAAGTTGTAGATCGTTTGGCAATCAAAAACGCTTGTCAAATGTTAATGGTCTTAGGTATAAACAGTCGCAGTGTTTATGAAGAAGATTTTGAAAGACCATTTTTATTTCAATCAGCTGAATTTTATAAGGTATGTAATCTTATCCAGATTTGTTGGAGCTAATTTTTTTGTCTGTCCAATCAAATATTTTATAATTTTTCATCAATAGCATTAAATCCCTCCAAGCATCATCTGTTTATTTATTTATAAAAATATTTAATTTTATTATTCCTTATGAATTTTATTCATTAATTTAGGGCGAAAGTCAAAAATTTCTCTCAGAAAATTCGGCTTCTGTATATATAAAACGTGTTGAAGCTAGAATTACTGAAGAGGCTGAGCGTGCAACACACTACCTCGATGAATCTACAGAACCTCGAATTGTAGAAGTTGTAGAAGATGAATTAATTAAGAAACATATGAAAAGTATAGTTGAGGTACATTTTTAAGCTTTATAATTTTTTTTATTTAATCAAAAATGAAAAAACTTTGTTAAATTTATTTCAGAATTTAATTTGGTAAACTTTTTTTTGTTATAGATGGAAAATTCTGGAGTAGTGCATATGTTAAAGAATACCAAAACAGAGGATTTATCATGTATGTATAAATTATTTTCTCGAGTAACAGATGGCTTAAAAACAATTTCGGATTGTGTTTCGGCTCACTTGCGAGAACAAGGTAAGCTACTTGTTGAAGAGGAGGAGGCTGGTACCAACGCTATCACATATGTTCAGGTAAAATTTAAATAATTTTGATATGAATTTTCTTTTTGTTGATTGCTTTATTATTAGTTATTTATATTTATGCCAATTATAACATGTGTTTCAGAATCTTCTAGATCTAAAAGATAGGTTTGATCATTTCTTGCACAACTCGTTTTGCAATGATAAAATTTTCAAACAAATGATATCATCAGATTTTGAACATTTTCTCAATCTAAATAGCAAGAGTCCGGAATATTTATCATTATTTATAGATGATAAACTTAAAAAGGGCGCAAAAGGGGTAAGGATATGAAGTAGTACCATTATTATCACTTTTATTGCGAATATTTCAAATATTTAAATCAATACTTTATTTTAAAGATGACGGAGCAAGAAATAGAAGCTGTGTTGGATAAAACTATGGTTCTGTTTCGTTACCTGCAAGAAAAAGATGTTTTTGAAAGATATTATAAACAGCATTTGGCTAAACGGCTGTTACTGAATAAATCTGTTAGTGATGATAGTGAGAAAAACATGATCAGCAAACTCAAGGTTAGATTTTTTAATATTTTATAATATTACAATATTTAATACTTTGAATAATTATTTACTATTTAATAATTTAATTACTATTTAATATTTTTATTAATAAGTTTTCACATATATATTACATGAATTGAATTTTCATATATGTTTCTCAGAATCAATTCAGTAGTTTTAATTTATTTGTATTATCATATATATGTATATAATTTTCTATCCATTTCTTGGAAACTAATCCTTTTTTTGTCCATGTATTTATCATATTGTTTTAATTAAATAATATTCATAAAAATAATCACAGATAGAAGGTCTTAGCAGAACTGCTTTAAGTGATTTCAATATCATCCTTCAAGAATCTGTTCGTAACATATATAGAAAACCCTTCCTTAAAAAGCGAAAACGAAGTGATGATTGTTCATCCATAAATGGATAAATTTGTGAAATGTCTTAGCAAGAATGTGTTTATGTATGTGTGTCCAAAAAATACTTAAGATGCAAAGTTCTCAATGTTTATCAGTGAGTCTGCTTTTCTTGAATTTTATAACAGCAGTCTTGTCCAATTTTGCTTAAAGTCTAAATTTGCTGTTGAAATTAATTATTTGTAGTCACTAAAAAAAAATATTTATTTGAACAAGCTCTTGCTAATATTGAGAATTTTGCAGCTTTGGACTTTAAGCAATACTTGTACAACTAGCTAATAATATGTAAGAATTAAATTCTTAAATTAACTATTTGAATACCATTACAGTTTTCAGAAAATATTTATTTAATGAATTTGTCATATTATAGTTCATCATTAATTATATTCGTTTGATAAACTTATTATTGTTTTCACATGTATTGAAGCTTTAAGTTGGTAAACTTTCTAATTTACTATATCATAACTGTATTATATTATATAACAAAAGATGTTATGGAGTGATTGTATTGTTGTATGTTATTGCTTATACACCCTTTAAGTATCATTTCTGAAGTAATTTTATCATTAAATCATTGTAATGTGTGTACAATATCAATGCATTGTTTAAGAATAAATCCTATATAAATATTTTCAGACCGAATGTGGATGTCAATTTACATCGAAACTGGAAGGCATGTTTAAAGACATGACCGTTTCAAACACCATTATGGAAGAGTTCAAGAACCACGTCGGCACAACAGGATCTAGTTTACACGGTTTAGATCTTAGTGTTCGGATCTTAACTACAGGATTTTGGCCGACTCAAGTTGCAACTCCGAATTGTAATATACCTTTGGCGCCGCGAAATGCTTTTGAGACATTCAGAAGGTATTTTTGTGCAAATAATATACCTTTTTATTTTATTATTAACTTCAAGAAGGAGAAGTTTGTTTTTATCAAAAAATCCGGCTCGATAATTTTATGTTTACTCGTTAAAAAATTTTTTTTCGACGATTTTCATGATTTTTTTTTTTTGTTGGTAGAAACCATAGTCTTATAGATCATACTAAAATATTACGGCCCTACGACAAGTCGTTTAATTTTAAAAATTCTTTAAACTTTGCAAGAGTTAGAATCGTTTTTTTTTGGCGTTAGTCGAAGAACTTTCATCGACGATTGCTTAACCGATTTCAAAGATTTAAAAGCCAATCGATGTATTTCGGTGTGGATTATCTTTTCTCAGTTTTGTGCAGCGATCGGTTGCGAAAATGAGTAGTTCTTTTGACGTTTGTTAAAATTAAAATTAGACGGTTTATTTGGTACAACGATAGAGTACTTAGTCTTAATGAACATATTATTATTATTATTATTTAAACAATTAAAATCCTACAATCCGACCGGGTTGACGTGTTCGATTTTCTTAGGGCTTAGGGCAAAATACCAATACCAACTAGTTATTTTAGAAAAGCTTTTGTTTATAAAAAAAGTACATTTAAAAAATTTACATACAGTCAAAATGAATCGGTAATAGATAATAGTTCAGATTACTTTAATACATATAATTGTTCGAATGCAATTTTTTTTTACAGATTCTATTTAGGCAAACATTCTGGCCGACAGTTAACGCTGCAACCACAAATGGGCACTGCTGATCTGAATGCTGTGTTTTACGGCCGAAACTATCAGCCAAGAGATGAAAATGGAACGCCCCAAGCTGCGTCTGCGGACACGCCGTGCAGCTCGAGTGGCGCAAGCGTTGGTTCTAACAGCGGCCAGATTAAAAAGCATATAATTCAAGTTTCAACGTATCAAATGTGTGTCTTGATGCTGTTCAACAATCGAGATAGGCTTACTTATGAGGTAAATTTATGCAATATATAAATAGAAATATGTATAACGTAGGTACAACGTCGTGTCGACGTTTGGTTTTTGTTTTTTTGGACTCGCGTTGCTGCCCAATTAGTAGTTATTTTCACCATGCATCATTAGATAATCGAACCTGTATTGTTTGGGTTTGAGTCTTCAATTTTTTACATTTTTTTTAAATCGGAGGCTGACATAAATTAATTGCAAAGCAACTAAAAATTTTATAATTCATAAATGTAACTAGTGGGGCGCATGGCATCATGCCTTAAGGCAAATTGCTGGAACTTTCCTTACCAAAAATTATTATTTTTTTAAAAACGATTAATATTTTTGAAAAAATATTACTTCGAAAAAATTAGATTTTTGAGAAACTATAAATTTGACAAAAAATTACTTTATTTTGAAAAAAAAAATTCTTAATTTTGACATATTTTGGAAATTCTGAACTTTCTTTAAAAGCCAAGTATTGCTTTAACAGCATAGAGACAAAATGTCAAAGCGCGTAAGCGCCGCGTTCCCGTCTAACGGATGAAAATTGGTACGGAACCGATAGGAATGTAAACAAAATTTATACTTATTGTTAAAATCTCTAAAAAATATCTGATAATTTGGTGTGCATATGTCTAATGATCATTTTTGACCGCCAAAAGGCTTTTTTTTTTTACTTTTTTCATTAGATCTCCGAAACCGCTAGATCTGCCTGCATGAAAATTTGATCAATTCTTCATCTTGTCAATATAAGTAAAATGTTTTTTGAATTATCAAAATCGGACGCTTCGTTCTCTTAAAAACTGAGTTACCATTTTTGGCACTTTTTGCCCCGTATCTTCGGAACGGCTGGACCTGCCTTTGCCAAACACTAATCAGCACGTCTCCTTATCAATACGAATCGAATGTTTTTTGAATTATTCAAATCGGTTGATCGGTGTTCCCGAAATCGTCGACGAAAATTTGTATCCGCACACACATACACACACGCACACACACACACACATACATCCATTTTTTCTAAGGTATGTCAAAATATTCAGAAACCTTTTTAACGTAAAGATATATAAAAATTTTCATTTTCGATTTTTTTTCCGATTACTATAACTTGGCCTACGGGAAGTTAAATATTTGTTCGTTTTTGTAAGTTTTCAAATTTTAATCAGGGTCGCCGACAAAGAAGTGGATTTGGTTGTATATATATATATATATATATATATATATATATATATATGTTTTTATATATGTATATGTATATATATATATATATATATATATATATATATATATGCTGTTCAAACACGGAAAAATATGTTCAACATTTCAGGAAATTTTAAACGAGACCGATATTCCTGCAAGAGATTTAATCAGGGCGTTACAATCTCTAGCTATGGGTAAACCTGCACAGAGAGTTCTTATGAGAAATCCTAAAACGAAAGATATTGAGCCTTCTAACGTATTTTATATTAATGATAACTTTGTTTCAAAGTTTCACAGGTACTTTGAATATACATACTATTCATAATTATTATTTGATATTCTATCTTGATAAATTAATTATTGAACTTATATTTTATTTTATTTTTAAAGGGTTAAAATTCAAACAGTGGCGGCTAAGGGCGAGTCGGAACCTGAACGTCGTGAAACTCGAAATAAGGTGGATGAGGATCGTAAACATGAAATCGAAGCAGCTATAGTTCGTATTATGAAATCGCGTAAACGAATGTCGGTTAGTAAATTTATTTTTGTTTATTCAGTGATAATATAATTTATTGAATAATCATATTTATTCGGATTATTAATCTCCTTTAGCATAACGTTCTGGTAACAGATGTGACAACGCAGTTACGAAGCAGGTTCATGCCTTCCCCAGTTATTATCAAAAAACGAATTGAAGGATTAATCGAGCGCGAATATCTTGCTCGTACGCCTGATGACCGCAAAGTCTATACTTACGTGGCTTAATTAGTGCGTATAAATTAATATTATTTTGTTTGTGATACATTACATATGAGAACCATGAAAATATGAGTTTATATGCAATCACAGAAAATGGTACTTTTTGGAAAAAAAAAAACAAAAAACCGTCTGAAATTTATTGACACACTATTTTCTTAAGAGTGATTAATATTAGTTAAATTATTCTACATTTTAAAATCTTTTACCTTCTGTAATGTGCAAATAAGTAATGTGTAAGTACTTGCTTTCCTTCTTTTTACAAATTTAAAGAGATAAATGTATTATATAAAAATAAAGAAGTTTACTATAGTTTATGAAAAAATAACTCATTTGACCTCTTAGTTTATTTTCATTACAACTTAAATGATAATCCTATTTTATTTGTAAAGTTACATTTAAATTCTTGATATTTTTTAAATTTGGGTGTATTTGGTGTACAATTAAATATAATTGATATAAGTGAGAATTATATTCTGCATTTTGTGTCTTCAAAGACTTAAAAAATACAATGACTTATATACTCAGAATACCTTCCATTTTTTATGTTGATTAGTTTGTGAGTTGTTTTAAGGTAGCATAATAAAATAATTTTTAAACAAATAGACTTGAAAAGTTTTTTAATTACGTTTAAAAATCAGTTTGACTCAATATATTTCAGCCTAGTCCAATTATGTATATATATATATATATATATCAGGCGTGAATTTGATGTTGATATATGTTTAATTTGAGTTAAAAAGTCGGGCGTTTTGAATTATTAAAGAATGTGTAGTATATAAGTAACTGTTTTTGAAATTACACTGAAGATGAGACACACCATGGTCTCGAAACGTCTGTAATCATAAAATAAAGTTGTGTTAAACAAATCTGAGTGCTGTTTTGTTCATATTAAACAATTAATATATATATATATATATATATATATATATATATATATATACACCTATATCTTATTTGAAAGATTGAATGCAGTTACTTAAGGCACAAAGCAACCACAGGATCGAGTGTAAGTGTAAGTTAATATTTATAGAATGTCGAACATGTTGCAAATAGCATTTTTATTGTCAAGTTTGAAATTCAAGTCATGATTTCTTCTAAATGACTAGAATATGTTTCTTCCTTATACATTTTATAATTCTAAAAGTGTGTAATATTGTCAAATGTTTTTTTTAGTTTATTGTCAAAGTGGCAAGAAACACATAATAGTATAAATTATTAAATTTTGTTTATTATATTTTCACTTTTTTTTATCTTGTTTGGACAAACATATTCTTAGTAGCATATCCTTATTTTCATGGTTCACAAGAAAATAATATGCAAATAATTTTTATAATGGCACAAATTATATTTTATTACTATTTTTCAGGTTTTTTTGTGTAGGAACGTCTTCTCTGATGAAAGCAAGTTAGATATAATAGTTATTATATCTACATGATTGATGAATTAGCCACAGAATTATTTAAATAGCGCAAAAGGAAAAATTATGATATTTTTTCTAATCAAAAAATAAAACTGTTTAAAATTTCAAGTGCTGCAAGTTCCATTATTATTGTGACGTGTCTTTTTTCTATTTTGAACATATTTTTGATATTGTCCAATATTTATTTTAAATATCATTAGGCATTATTTTGATACCATATTTTCTAAAAAAAAATATGATGAATCTTAATAAAAATGAATGATGCATTTTTTATAACATATTTTTGTGTGATGAATTCTTGTTTAACAATTAGTGTTTTAATAATTGTTTATTTTTATGTCGGTGCTTAATATATTATGAAATATTGTGATATATGATGAGTGTTTGTATTTGTGACCTGTTTGGATTCAGTAAAATTAAAATACAGAAAGTGAAATATTGACACGTGAAAAAACTAATTGCTAAGTTGTGTGCTTAGTTTAGTAAACTATATAGGATGTTAATAACTCAGAGGTAAATTTTATGAACAATTCAAATATGTTATTGTATTATTTCTATGACTGCATTATAATTGTCACATAATTATAAAAAAAACATCTAAAATAGTATTTTTTTATTCTCTTATGTAATATATTTTCTATATTTATATATTTACTATTACATTTATATAGTGATGCACCACAATGGTCGATTGTGCTAGTATGTATTTTTTTTTTCAAAATCACTTTGAAGACATGTTTCTTGGTGGAATCATTTTATTAATTTTTTCTGCAATATTGTCAAGATACTTCAGAGGTAGCGGTAAAAGTATCACGAAATCGATATGCATATTATATTTTCGATTTAGTATATATGAACAAACAAACGTAAGTTTTTTATTTTTTATAGCATATCATTTTTATATTTATATTTAAGGAAACATTTCAATATGCGTCTGGCTTGTTTGACATACTCTCCTAATTTATTTTTCCTAATTATAAATATGTAGAAATAACTATAGATCAAAAATTTGTGTGGAATTTTGAATCACATGTTGTTGATCTCAATTTTCAAATAAAGCAATAGAGATACAAAAAAATTAACTATTAAATTTATATAAATTATATATATGCTATTTGTACTTTACTTTAAAATTCGATGGAATTTAACGTCTATTTGAAATTAATATAAAACATTGTATGATTCGAATATTATTATTATTTATATTAATATATTTCGTAGTTATTTTTAAACGTTATTCACTTATCATTACCAGTATCTTATGCTCTTTCTAACTTTGTTTGTTGTATTTTTTGTAGGCTGTTTTTCTTTTGAATCATCTATAAGCTTTGCATTTTCATCGCCGGTAGTTACAGAAATATTATCTACCACTTCGAACTCAATAACGTCATCAGTTTTATTTTTATTCACTCTAGTATCTGATCCTCTTTTTCCGACCGTAGACGCCATGGTATCAGATAAATCATTCGTCTTTAATGCGTCGGCAAGCGTCTGAACTGCATTTACAGAATCTGTTCCAGTATTATTAGACTTTTGATTGACATTTTGTTGCAATTCATTCATCGGCTTTGGTGCGTATGTTACGTTGCTGGGTGGTGTCTCGCTATGCAGATAAGCCACAGGCCAATATCTGGCTTGAACGAAACCCCCTGGTGACGGCGGGCTTAAAAATATTTGATCAGGTCCATCGTGGTGTATTTGTTCACCGCAACAAGGCGGTGCTTGGGGTACGAATCCAGCGGATGGCCTATGATGACCGTAGTCTCTTTGGTACTTGGGTGGATACGGGCGATCGCCACTAATTTCTGGACGATGGTCGCCTCTGGTGAGGTGATTATTACCGGTTATCGATTGAGTAGGTACACCATAAGGGTAGTATCTATCCGCGCACTTTCGCCACTGACTTTTATTTGGTCCAACGTAGCACCTGCAATAGCACATTTCATAAGCGAAAAAAAATCACAATTATATTCAGTTTCTTAATAGAATCTTAAAGTTCATAGAATCATTTTGTGCGGAGTACATAATTCTCACCAAGCGTAATCAAATCCCTCCGAATAACCGCATTTATGGTCAGGCGCACAACAATAATCCCAACTACTTGCTTCGGATCCTTCAAGTTCGCAAGCGTAATGACCCGAAATAACATTGTGCTGACATCCACCTCCATCTCTTCTGCACGGCCATCCTGAGACAGAATACTGCTGCCATGGATCAGGCTCTAAAAACGAACTAAAATATTAATAAACCCTATATTGGTTAACACTTTAACAATACCATTAGATCGACTCCATGGACCAACTCGACCATCAGGAACTCCTACACCTCTATTTTCAGGCGGTCCAGATATGTCATTGTCAAAGGCAGCTCTTTTACACTTTTCATCTCGGAGATCCCATGCAAATAATCTATGTCCAGGAACATGCTCATAATCTAGACCGAGTCGTAAGTCTCTCTGATCAATGTCAGATAGCAAGCAATTTGGAGAGCGATCACCGGGCGCAGACACCATTCTATTCAATAAACGGCAAAATTTTCGATAATTTTTGTTATGTATATCAAAATATCAAATTTCAATTTTATTGATTTTGTATACATTTTGTGGCTTACTGGGTAGTATGAAGTTTATTTTATTTAATCGTTCGTTTTAAGTAATATGGCATCTAAATTGTTAAAATAAGCGATATAATTAGATTTAATAAGCAATATCTCACCGGAAACTGTACGACATGCATTTCAAAGAACCACTCTTCCTTAAAGATGAACATCTTGCTTTGCAGTCTAATTCAGAAGATAAGAACATTGCTTTTCTCACAGATTGTCTCACGAGTTTCGCTTCGGAACCATATGAAAGGTAGCAAACTGTAAAATATTTTATAATAATATAAAAACTAATGTTGTAAATTAAAAAAAAATAAGAATCATTATTCACCTTTTTCGGCAAATGCAGGTTCTATGGGCTTTGGTGGGTAATGTGGAGGAAGTGTAGGTGTCGGAAGATGACACCCTGTGTTTGGAGAACCTCTTTCATATAATTCAAATCCAGGATCTTCTAGTAGATTTATACCTGGTATTAATTCATAAAATGGGCAATCACTGAGCAAGCAGTTTTCGTTTGAATGACCAATTATTGATGGGCCGTATCTGTAAGTATTACGTGCTATAGATTTAATATCTATTGGATCAATACGACGATTTGGATCATCTAATATTATGTAACAATAAAAACGCTATTGGTTACCTGTAAGTAAAAGTTTTACAATGAAAATGTCTCGCGCGTACACATGCTAATTCACATTGCCCTACACTTGAGGCTGACACTGCATCTCGAATAGCTGACCACGATAAACGTTGGCCGCTACGAACTCGTACGAAGCATTCTAAGAAGACAAATATATATTATATTCTCTAATTACATATATATATATATGTATATATATATATATATATCTGTGTGTGTATGAATTTTAAAACAATGCAAATGAATTTATTTATAATTTTTACTAGATTTTTTCAACCAAGATGTAATTTACCACTTTCAGCAATAATATTAGGTCCGACTCTAGTATCTGGCCAAATTCTTTGAGGAGAACAGTCTCCTGCATCGTTCACAGTAAATACATCATGCGAACGATCAGGCTCTAAATCGTGATAAGCATCCAATAATTCAAAACCGCGTTCACTTATAAAACAGTTAGGTATGGGCGCATATTGAGCAGGTCTAAAAATATATTATCGTGGTCAAACATTAAAGATCACTTATGAAAATGGTCATATTTGCAATATTTCACCCATAGCTAAATGAACAACATTTAAATCTAACTTCATCTCTACATCTTCTCTCACATTCAGCAAAATCTCTCGCAAAACACGAATCTCTAACTGCACTTCTATGCAGTTTGACGCCTGATGCGGCATGTATAACACAACTACCTGAAAAAAATTATTTATATTTGATTCAGCAATAAATTTATACAGAATCCAAAATAGTATATTCAACCTCTGTTGTGAAACCCGACATGCGGTCTATCATAATCCCTGTGCCCGCCGTTGTATGGAACAATCCCATGTCCTCCGTGCCCTCTCGGTGGTTGAGGAGGCGGTAATCTAGGCCTTTCTTGTGGCTGATAACCACCGGTGAAAGGAAAACCTTTATAACTATAGCCATCAGGCCATGAATTGTGTCCAGTTCCAACTGAGTATCTTTAGAAATTACAAAACGATTAAAAAAATTGCCATAAAAATATTATTTTATCATAAATATATATCTCATTATTTCATTACCTTCGCCAACCTCCACCTAAATCTTGCCCTGGGCCGATTCCATGGCCGTGACTGGAACTGCCTCGGCCATAGCCCCAGCCTGTGACTCCCCAGTAGTTATCCCAGCCGCCTCGTCTACCACCGAGATCACGGTAGTCGAATCTGTCGGACGGATAACGGGGTCCCGAATCACCGTGTTTATTGAAGCCCCAATAAACGTAGCGGTCGTCATCGCGATGATGCCTATAATTTGGAGCAAAAACTTGATAATCAACAAACCGAGCAGTCAATTATTTAATGTACACGCAACTATACTGCCAATACCAATACATATTTTTAGTTGTGTTCTTACTTGTATGGATCACCATATTGCCCTCCATAAGCGCCCCATGACTTCGGATAGGGGTGATAAGGGCTATAAGGTTTTCGGTCATATCTAGTATTATATCCATAAGGTTTAGGTGGGTGTTGATGTGGCCGGTAATCAGGATAATCATCATAACGTGTGCGATGATCATATACTCCTCCACCGTGAGGATAACTAGGCCTAAAGTAGATGTATATTTATCTCCTCTATGATTATCGATTTTGTTTTTTTTGCAATTACCTTCGCTCACTATAATGATCAGTAGGAACAAGATTGCCGAAATCCCAAGGGCGTGCCAGGGGTCTGGTGCCACTGCAATCGGGGTAACTATTTCGATCTCTTTCGTAGTAATCGTAATCTTTATCAGGAAAATAGTCTCTTCCATAACTCAATTGCGATAAAGGAACTTCTGTTAGCTCACATATTCCTTGACCACGCCCGGACCTATCCAGTCTAAAATGGTAAAAATATTATTGTTTAATTTACAATGTTAACATGTTTTGTATATTATTCTTGTCTAAATGTTTGTTTATTTTAGACAAATAAATTTTGCTCATTATAATTAAACGGACATATCTAAACATTATATAAAACTGTAGCCAGTAGTGTGTTATACTGCTGCTGATGTTTTATAGAAGGAGAAGGTGCTTATACAATTAATTACAACATAATAGGTAAAAATTTGATTAAAAAAATTGCCATAAAAATATTATTAATTTTGTAATAAGTATGTGAGTCTAAATGAAAATGGTTAGTGCCTGTTGATAGGGTTGGTTACAATTATTTAAATTTAATTTCCTGGTTGAAGCGGTTTATTTTTCTCACTTTTTGCGTTCGAACCACCTGTACTAAATCACTACCTGGACGCAGTATAAAAAATTGCGTTTAACTTGAGCTTTTAAAATGGTTAATAAAATAACCCGATCATAATTGTTAAGATTTCAATGCGGATTTTCATTGTAAAATTACAAAAAGCTATTGCAAAAGTAAATTAAACACTTCATTCTTTTATAAAGCAAGAATAATTGAAATTTAAATAAATAATATATTTATATGTGTCATCTGATAATAACATCAACCTTGTGGAACAACAAAGGGAAGCCATCAAACGTATTGTGCGACAATCTCTTCGTAGGAAGGAAACCTATTCAGTCAATTTGTCTTTAGCTATTCGAATAATTTTCTTGTTCACTTTAGCGTTAAATAGTGAATGAAAAAAGCGCTTTTAATTACCATCTTTGATATTAAGATTTTGATATAATACAATTTTCATAAACGGTGAATGATTTGATAGTTGTCACAAAAAAACTTATTGCTGGAATTTTGCTATTCATAATTTACATATGAACAGCTTATTTGTAGTGATGCTTTTTTCTAGGGTGCAAAACTTATATTATTAAATATATTGAAGGTTTATAATTTATACTGTAAGTTTGTAAGAACGGATTTACAAAAAAATCCCAAAATTTGTATCAAATCATGCCATTCTTAATTATCCAAGGTGTTTGTTGAAGTATTCTTGTTTGTGCATAAAATTTTTTTATCAATATGCATCGGCCCATTGTTTACATAAATTTATTGTATTATAGTGTATTGTTAACCAGAAGAAGGCAACAATCGAGAACTGGGATCTTTTTTTATACGCCTACGAATTAAAATGCTAATTGCACATTCAACATATGCAAATTATAATTTACAAGTTCAAGAGTTTATTATATAATACATGATATATGCACATCGAAAGTTGTTAATTTATTTACTTTAGCAATTTATGTGCCTTTGATAAAATTTTAATAGAGTCCCTTTGTTTGCTTTATAGATTATGTCTTGAAAATTTTGATATTAAATATCGTACTAAATATGTTGAAAAATACTAACAATATGTAAATCTAAAATATTCAAACAGTTCTCGAAGTCATACTATTCGTATTAAATTTAAAATATTGGTTTTAAATTCATTAAATTTTTATTTATGAGATACCAGAGTACATCAACTTTAATGATTCTCAATACAACTCAATTTATGGGTGCTCAATGGTTAAGCTCACGGACTTGTGGGTCGTGAGTTTGAACCCTCTGGGCAACCTGACATCGGGCGATGAAGAATTTCACTTGAAAATATAGCTGAAAAATATGTATCCAATTGAAAATAGTCCATTTCGGGCACTGGGGTGTAAAATGGTAACGAGGAATCTTTTACACTATTCTTTCCTGAATCGAGTTAGAGTTTAACTCAGCTCACGGACCTGACCTGGGGCCGTACAACCTATTTCAATTTGTTCTTAAAAGTATAATTTAACTTTATGTGATAAATTCATATTTTCAATAAATAAACACTTTCAATTGTTCAATTGAAGTGGATACTATTTATTAAATATTTGAATGAATGAAATTAAAAAAAAATATCTGTAAAAAAATATCCAGCTTCAAATGTAAAACTAATAATTCAATAAACTTTACGATTAAAATTTTATAATTCTCTTGTAATTGAAAAGCTAACAGAATGTTCGCCGAGCGAACAATGCACTTCTAACTTTTACTAAATAATTACATCACAACAATTAAATTAATTACGATGTCCAAGACGCGATTATATAGATGGGCTTCCGCTAGTAAAACACGTGTATACTGCTTTTATCAGGTTATCGTGTATGATATCAAAAGATGTAATACGACCGCCAAAACAATAAACAACTTGTTTGTAATTTACTGAATGTATCATTATCGTTTTAGAAGGGACGAAGATCCATTGCAAGATAAAAATTGAAAATTTAAATGAGGATAAAAGGACTGTGAAAAAATCATGGGCAATAAATTTCAATACTGATTTAGTGGTACTACATAGTTTTTGACTCTTTTGGTTGTAGGTTTACAACTAGTTTAACATGTAGTTTAAAAAAATAAGCCTGTGGATTCAATGGAATGAGAATCTTTCACAAGAATTGAAATATGTTTATAACAATTAATGTCATATTCGCCAATATAATTAAGCAAAAAAAGTTTTCCTTTCAATTTGCTATATTTGCCAGTCAAAGCAAAATCCTCTCAATGCGTATTTCTTAGCTGGGTAAAAGTATTTGAAATAGTTTCAGTTTAATTCGACTATAAAGACTTTAGTCATTATATTAGGCTACTTTTTGTATTCAATCAAACTTGAAAAATACATTTTCAGTAATTTGATATAATTTACTATTCTTATTATAAATGTAAAATGTATTATGATAATATTTAATTGCAAACCCCCTCCTAGTTTAGTTTAAAGGCTTAAAGCTTGTTTATGCTTGCTCCTCATAAAAATTTAAGAATGTTTATGTATTTTAAAATTAATGTTATATTTGTCAGTCAGTATAATTAAGCCATACTAAGTCTTTCAATTGAAAATGACGAATTTAATTTTTTTTTTATTTTCTATTAAAATGTTTTATAATAATTTTGAGTGCTAGCAAACCAAACTTTTAGTAGATATATAATAAGTATATATTTAAAATTAGTTTATATAATCGTGTAAATTTCAATTATTTGACACGAAACAATAAATATCATCTAAGTTAAATTATAATAAGAGCGTTTGTCTTATTAATTGTCTACTTTTTAACTCAATCAACTCAATTTCAAATCCTTTGTACAACATTTATCTGTCTTGATTCAATATCTTATAATCTATTTTTCTAATATTCGAACAGTAATCAGGTTTTGAGATGCTATGAAATGTGACCAAATGATGACTTATATATTTAATTTATTTTTATTATTTGCTCTTCAATACTGATAACTAATTAAATTTGATGCAGAAATGTCTAGCTATTTGCACTTGGAAATATATTTCTCAATACTGCTTGACAGCAAGCTATCGAGGGTGGCTATCGAACCTGGATATTTCTGCTTGGAAGGCCAAAGCTCTAACCAACAAGCCAAGGAAAAGCCGATTCTTTATATTATGTATATGTATTACAATTTATAATTTTGAATTGCGCGCTTACAAAATTTGTGTCGAATTTGTCAAAGATGGCAATTTTTTTTGACCAATAGGAGCCCTTGATTCAAGGTCATGAATGTGCATTATCTAATGCAAAGGTCAGTCTCATTTTGACAGTCTAGTGGGAAGGAGTTGTGCAATAAATATCATAGTGCAGTTATAAAGTTAAAATAATATTCGAAGCCGGCCAGGATTAAAATATACGGATGCAAATTGGCAAAATGTAAGTGATAAATTTATTATTATATTTTTTTTTTCTAAATATCAATAGCTTAAACGATAAAGATGGGTCATTTAAAGTGAAAACATCAGGCGTGCAATAACTTTTGACACGACTGTCAGATCGAATAATGACATAATTTTCAACAAACTGTTGTAACATATATTCTGGAAGCAAAATATAGTATAATCGAAGTAAAAGTGACTAAAAATTTTTAGAAATTAGTGGGGTGCATGGCATCGTGCCTTAACCAAAATGCTGGAACTTCCCGTACCGTAATTAAAAATCTTGGTACGGAACCCAAAAAATTTTACACAAAATGTGTACACATTATTAAAATCTCTATAAAATATCTGATAATTTGATGTACATAATAAACATTTTTGACCGCCAAATGACATTTTTTTTAATTATTTTTATTGATAGTCCATAACCGCTGGACCTGTCTTCCCAAAAATTTAATCAGTTTTTTATCTTGTCAATACAAGTAAACTGGTTTTTGAATTATTAAAATCAGCACGTCGCCTTAGCAATATGAATCAAATGATCGGTGTTCCCGAAATCGTTGACGAAAATTTGTATCCGCACATACACACACACACACACACACATACATCAATTTTTTCTAAGGTATGCCAAAATGTTCAAAAACCTTTGAAACGTAAAAATAAATAAAAATTTTCATTTTCAATTTTTTGCGATTTTTAAAATTCATTGTATTCAGGATTAAATTCTATTCTAGTTGAACTAAAAAAAAACTTGTAAAAAGTTATAATTAACCCACTTTTTAAACAATCTAAAGTGAAATTTTGTACAAAAAAACATGATTTTTTTCAAGTTGCAAAAAATTGGTGAATTTATAATTTTTTTATGGATATTTTAGGTTCAACTAGAATCTATTCCATTGAAAATATATATTTGTTTTGATTTTTTTGTTTCGGATGGAAATGTGACTTGCATCTTTCCCGCCAAATGACGCATCGGCAAAATGCTTGTACCCGGCATTTTATGGTACATATTTTATTGAAAAAAACATGAGAAGAATGTTGAGATACATAACAATAAAACCTGAAAGTTTCGTATAAATTAAATATTTATTTCTTCTCTAAAAATTTCTCAAAAAAGCGATTTTTTGAAGCCTCCCCCTTAGGGTAAAATGCTATTTGCAACTAGTTTTAACCCTCTACGGTGGTGGAATTAAATTTACGGCGAAGTTTAGGATGTGCTAACAAGATTTAATAATTGTTCCGTAAACTTTAGATATATTTTTATTCAATACACTAATCTAGTGTTGTTTTTGTATAAAAGTTATGTTTAATAGTTACTGTGTATTGTATACTGTATGAATGCATATTTTACAGACTTTACACGATTCTAATAGTAACTTGTCGTGGTGGCAGAAAAATGACGACCGAAACCGGTAAAAGAGCTTTGGGTTTTAAAATCGGTCCAGCCGGTTTTGAGAGTGGGCAAACAATCGTAAATGGTTAATTATTAAAATTGAAGACTCTAACCTGTAATTGAATCCTTCGCAAACGAATCTTCTTTCGGCAGCACATTCTCTGCGGCAATCTTCTAATCGTTCGCAAAATAGACGCCTCAGTACGCATCGGGGCGAAATTCGTTGCCCGGCTAGCACTCGTTGAAAACACACTGAAAATAATCAAATAATTATATACAATTGATTATATATATATATATATATATATATATATATATACATATTGTTTTCTAAGAAGTTTCCCTCGTGTGATATTAATCAATTATTATTTACCTCTTGCATCTTCCACTAATATAATACTCGAGCACTGTACTCGTTTCAGTCCTAATATAACTATTAACAAATATTGTATATTTATCACTTTCATTTTGATCACTTTATAAGTATTAGTTATAACAAATTATTCCTATATTACACATTATTGGCTAGTGAATGTGGCAGTAATAAGTAGTCTTTGAACATAATGCCTTATTTATTGCACTAATAAATTAATAATAAAATAACCGCAAACTGTAATTGGTATATGAGTTGCATTAGTAATCGGAACGACAATATAAAAAATATCAAAATAGAATTGCATAATTTTTATGAATAATCAGGCCTCTGGCCTACCTCTATGAAAATTTGCATGTAAGTGGGTTAAAGGGACCAACTGAACCTTCACAAAGAAAAATTAAATTAATAGTTAACTTATGTTAGTCAATATTTCTTTCAAATTGTCAGGTCAGGGTTATATACTATTAAATCTCTGTAACAAAAAACGTTTAAAATAAAACTCGTATCTCACATTGGTTAAATGAAGTAGCAATTATTTCGTAAAATCATTTTAAAACTAAATAAAGATGATGGATCTGTTTGCCTCTTGGCTGCCCCTTCTTACCCTACCCTTGGGAAAAGTAGAGACAAATAGGAAATTTTAGATAAAATAGTAGAAAATATATTTCTATAATTAGGAGTTAACTATTATTTTTTTAACATAGTTCAACATTTGTTTGATAATTGTAATGCGTTGGCATGTAGTTCGTTTAGTTCAGAGTTTAGAGAGAGTATAATTACTGAAAGTCAAATTGAATCCTTGTGCTACGCATCCTATTTACATAATACTGTTAATATTTTACTTTATATCTAGTATATTTAATTATTAACTTCCCGTAGGGTAAGTTATTGTAAGCGTCCAAAAATCAAAATTGAAAATTTTTGCATTTCTCCAAGTTTTGAAGGTTTCTGAACATTTTGGCATACCTCAGAAAAAATGGATGTGTGTGTGTGTATGTATGTATGGATACAATTTTTCGGTCACGTTTTCGGGCGCACGGATCAACCGATTTCTATGGTTCAAAAAACATTCGATTCCTATTGATAGGAAAATGTGCTGATTAGTTTTTGGTAAAGGCAGGTCCAGCAGTTACGGAAATAAAGTGCAGAAAATAGAAATCGAGTTTTTAAAAGAACGGAGCATCCGATTTGAATTATCTAAAAAACATTCAATTAGTAATGATTGGGAGAAGTGGTTATTAGTTGTTGGCGAAGACAGGCCCAGCCATTTCGAAGATACAGAGCTAAATGTGCAAAAAATGGCAGTTTTTGAGGGAACTAAGCGTCCGATTTAAATGATTCAAGGAACTTTCTGCTTGTTTTAACAAAATAATTGATTTTGGAATAAAAAATTGTTGCCAAATTTTTTTTTCAATTTTTTTTTCAGAAAATTTTTTTTGGCAAGAATGATTCAGATTTTATTTTTAATTCTGACTAAAGTTCTAATATACTTTAAACAAATAATTTCAACTTTGCAATTCAGTTTATATAATTCTTATAAATATTAGACAATATTAGTATTTATAATAATCTATTTCAAAACATTCAATATTCTTCGAACATTTCATTACGGTACGGGAAGTTTCAGCAATTTGCCTTAAGGCACAATGCCATACACCCTACTAGTTTAATATTTGAATCGTGATTTGCACACATTCAAAGATACAATTTTAACAAAATTGTATTTGCTGGTTCTCATTCAAAAGAACCCGTTAAACATTTATATATTTCAATGTATGGCAAAACGTTGTATGGTGCCTAGATTTGTTGCAAATTTATTTTTATTACTTGTAAATCTTTTTTTCTCAGTTTAATTCCAACTCTGTTCAGGTATTAAATTATATCACGGCGCATTGTCACATGCGTTACTTAGTTACTTCTAACGCAATTTGATATTACAGCAAGTTTCGGGAAAGTGAGATTATTCGCGACATAGTTATTAAAATGTATATTGCACAGCGTTAATTGAGGCTTTTGTTCAACTCGCTCGAATGAATTATTGCTCTTTAAGAATTGTATATCGCGTATTTACATTATAATTCGAAAGGTGTATAAAAAAAGGATTGATTCATTTCCGTTGGATTATGATCTTCTCGTAGTAAGTCAATTGAGATGTTGGGTTTTCTATCGTTATTATTGCATTATAATTACTTATTGATATACTTGGACTAATAACTATTTTCTAAACTTGGCACGAATAATAATGAGCTTTATTAGAAATAATGGGCTCACTCGTGGGCCGGGGGCCTCAAGGAGCCTGATGTCAAGCAGTAGTGACATCGGTTTTCACTTGGAAATATAGATAATAATATGTTTCCAAGTGAAAATAGCTCTCATCAGGCATTCGTGCATCAATAAAATATTCGCCCTATTACAGAAATTGTAATAATAGCAGATTATCACACAGAGATGAGACAACAGTTTGGGTTGTCATCTGTAAACCGAGCTTATATGACTCTTAAATTCTGATTACTGTTCAAAAAAATGATAAAAAACATTAAAGATAAATGAAATATTATTTATTGCTTAAGAGGGTTGTTCGTTTTTTATTTTTTTTCGATTTTGAGATTTTTTGTTTATATGAAAGCTAAAAACCTTAGAATTATTTAAAAAAAAAAATCATCTCAATATCTATTTTTTGACGAAGTTAGAGATATATATCTCTATATGTATGATCCTCTGAAACCGTTTTTTTCATCGCTCCGCGAGCTATTGCATGCCAGCTGCTCTCTTTTTCATTATAATACGTCATGCACATGACCTTTTTAATGTGTCAGCATCTTTGAACACTATGGTGTATTCAGTACATTAAATTAAACGGTGTATTTAGTATATTATATTAAAAATTTTAAATACGTTTTTCTCAAATTGTAACTTGTAATTCGACTACAAGTCGGATTGACTTGCATTTTTTTAATTTGTTCACCACTACAATACCCAGTACGCCTACCTCAAACAACTTGATAACATTACGCAAAAAACTTTTGCGAAGCTTCTCTTTTTTTAAATCTGCCATTTTTTTCCTTCTTGATTTTTTTCTTTCATTTTGGTAGGGGGACTGGACAAACTTCTTCTTCAACGTAGGTTCTTTTTTTTTTGTTTCAGGCGATGCGCAACGGATTTATCTGTGGCACCGCAAAAGAGATCGATTTTGCAAGGCCCACTTTGTCGCCTCCTGGTTAAAAAATGACAGCGAAAAAAAAGGAAATTTCGTAATAATTTATGATTTTGCCATTTTTGTTTAAAAAAAACGCATGTCTCTATGATAAATACATTTCGAGAAAAACAAAAACAAATATCTTGCATTTTTTTGTAAAAAAAAACGAACAAACTCCTTAAGCAATTGGAAAAAAAAGGTTTTTAACTGGTGAACTGTGAATTTAATAATGCAAATTTTATTGATACTTGGCTATATGGTTGAAACAATATGATATAGCTGTTATATTCTCGATAGTTAAATAGCCAATTAATGATTTTTGTACATTTGTCATATTCTTCTAACTTTTATACATTGTAATGCAATAGAATTTAAAAGCATTTAAAAGCTTTGACAAATTCTGAAGTTATTAAATTTTTATCTGGTCAAAAAACGTAGGGCAATGTCTTTGTTGTACTATGTTTGCAGAATAAGAACATGCGTTTGTTCTAACACCAGATGATTTTGGGTAGTGAATTAGTTCGAATACAATTAGTAATACTAATAACTAAAGATGTAAACTTCTGAATATCTTTGAACAAATAACTAAATTGTTTTATCCTAAAATATCTGACTACTAAAATGAAAAAAAAAACACCTTATTTTTTTGCAAAAAAGCTAAAGTGCTAATAAGCTTACAAATATAGTATAAATCCAATGGCTTCAACAGGTTAATCATAGGAGATATATTAAAGCATGCCTAATAAAAAATATTTCAAATTTTCATCTGACTTTTTCACTGACATTTTCTTTTAATACTAATTGAGTATTTTAGTTAGTTTAGTTTATTAGTTTTAATACTAATTTAGTATTAAAAGGAAATGTCAGTGCTATATTAAATACAGATGAAAATTTGAAATATATTTTCTTATACATGTTTTAATATATCTCTTATGATTAAACTGTTGAAGTCATTATATTTTTACTATATTTATTAGCAAGCTTATTAGCACTTTAGCTTTATTGAAAAGTAAGAATATGCTTTTTTGTTATAGTAATCAGATATTTCAGGATAACAAATTAGTTATTTGTTCAAATTTATTTAGAAGTTTACATTTTTTGGTCTCAGTTCTGAAAACCTTTGATTCTTTATATTAGCATGAAATAGTATAGAAATATTTAGTAGATGTAGTGCAAAAATAAAAATATTTTTATATAGTATGATGTGATAAATTAAACGCAATTATGTTAGTGTTAATGCAACAATATTTTACACCCTTTCAAATTTCGTTTTGGCGAATTGAATTCATATTTTAATCACACATTTTACGTAGCATTTTCCGACTTAATTTAATAATTACATTTAGTATCTACCAACATAATAATAACCAAAATATAATCCAATCTTTTAATACATCAACATTGTATTATAATTCGGTCCACTATCACTCATATCACATTGATTTTTTATCACTATTCAAACTCAACCAACATTTAACCACTTTCAACCATCGCGAGCCGGTTAAACCATCCGACTCGGAGCAAACTTTACAAATGTCGTCCAAATTTCGCGCCAAAGGTTTTATACCGCGAATCTCTTCGCCTATGTTGTTGTATGACAACCGCTTGAGCTGATGACAGCACGCGAAGGCCAATTGAAACCTGCGTGGGAGATTGGATAACTGATGTTTACTTACATATTTATGGAAAACTCAGTTATTTTGAAAAAGAGCAGTGGATTGGCTTATGTAAACTTGTGTCTTTACGAGCTGATAGATCTTAGTTTTTTTTATTGGCTTTTGACTTACATCATTTGGCCAGATGCCATTCATACAATTCTAATACAAAGTCTTATTAAATAATTAACTTATAAATTAATCTT